ATGGACTAGAATGAAGATGCAGTGAACAGTTCGCAGTTCTTTCCAGTCTCATTTTTCGAAAACAAGCTTTTTAAAGTTAAGAACCTCCACAAAGTGTAAACGTTCGACACCAATTAAAACCAAGAACCATTCAGGAGGCTTTATTTTTAAGAGTGTAGCTGCTAAACTGTTCAGGAGATAGAAGAAGCGGTTGCTAAGGAAGCCCCTGAGGATGAAACTGGGACCAGAATCAACAATTCCAGCAGAGTGCTGCATTTTTAATGACCCTTCCCAATTAGCCGTCCCTTCCTCTGGTCTTCCTGTGACTCTCTCCACTCTGCACGTTCTCCTGGACGGTCCGACCGAATGCAACCGAGGAGCCCAGAATGGAGACAGTACTTGTTGATTAGCCTCCCGCTGAGAGCTCTGCGTGTGCATTAACTCAGTGTGAGCGCGGCAAACCCCCGTTACAGCGGAGCCACATGAGCGGCTAATGCTAGTGATTAGTGCCCGTCAGGGTCCTCGGAGCGCGGGGCTCGGGAGGCGGGCCATCTTTAGCAGGTGGCCATGGTTGGAGACAAGACAGCGCGCTTCCTGCTAGCTGGCACCCGTATGTTTCTGCACCGCACACAATCTGTTGGCCTCGTCACGTTTGTGCTGGCGCGTGTCCCGCTCATATTTTTGTCTCGGAGGTCCGACCTCGCCCCCCCGTGTCGCTGCGCAGAGATGAAGTGAATGAACCAGCCACAGCTCAGGGTCGTGTTTGCGGTTTTGTAAGTGATAATCTGTGAGGTGAACGCGAACCTCGGTGTAGGGATGTTCTGCGGGTCGCGCGGCCTCCCCTCGCTCCTTCTCTCGCTGCGGCTTGAAAGATTAATTGTAGGGTTTCAGCGCAAAGTGCAGCGCGTGTCAGGAGTGATGGTGACGGCCTTGCCCGGCCCATGGCTCTAATTAGCTAACAATGTGGGCTACTCAAACAGAGCGGCAGCTTTGAGAGCGCGGGGGAATAAAACATGGCTGATTTCAACAGAACAGGCTGCTGTACAGACTCACATTTTCCTCTGATCACGATTAGTGACTAGCCTAGCGCCTAGCCGCTAGGCCATGTTCGAAGCTGTTGTAGAACACTCTTTATAAAACAGATAGTTCTGGTCCTAAAATCTGATTGGTTGAGCCGCATTCAAAGCCTTTCTAAAATCCACAATATTACACTCCAATGACCCCCTCACAGGAACTGAACACGAAAAACCCTTAGTGTTAGTGAAATAATCTTTGACTCTCATGCTGCTCACGTGGAGCACCGAGTGCACTGATGAAGTAAGAACCCATTTTTTTGTTTAAACTGAGAATCTGACGGCTTATTTTCTTAACTAGAACCAGGCTGGTCAGCTAGCTAACAGGCTAAAATATAGCAAACATGCTAAACAACTCCATCATTAATATCACAGGCTTGAATTAAAACACTTACGATATGATTAACTGTAAAACGGCAGTACAAAAGACCAAAAAAGTCACTTTAATGTCTTACAAGCTTGTCCGTTTTGTCGCGTCAAACCCAGGCTGAATCCCAAATGCCTCCGTATGCCCTAATAGTGTTCTAGCTATGAAAGTTCTAGCCTCTACAGCCAAACAGTGCATCATTTATCGAGTGTGGATGTGTCTGAGGCCCACATGACTGTTTCTTAGCTGTATTTTGCTCTGTTGGGCTGCAGGATCCAGTATTTAAACTCCTATGTAGTGCACTATGTAGGGAGCAGGGAGCCGTTTGAGATTCAGCCCCAGTGTGAGAAGAGGGCGCCGCTGGATTGGTGCTAAATAAGACTCACGCTGGTAATTTGGTGACCAAAAAGTACTTAAAAAGCAAAGGTTTCTGTATTAAGCAGTGCTGTGTTATCATATGTTCACTGTTATGTGACAAAAAATTAAAATGACCGCAGTGAACAGCGACGGGTGACCGAGCGCTCTCATTCAGCAGTCCATGGTTGCTTGGAACTACATTTCTTGGTGAAATACTTGTTTATGTCAATTATTATATAATATAATAATAACAAGAGTTATTTTCTGAAAAATACTGTATTTTATCATTTTATGTTGGCTGCCGTTTTATACCAGCAATAAGCCACTTGAGCTGCGCATTACTGTAATTTGATCATGGGGAAGAGGGTTTTACTGCGCTTTGCGTCGTGCCTAAGAACACCCTTCCCTGTGATGAAACTGCAGTAACGCACAGCCTCTTGTGGCTTATTGCTTTAATATACACACAACTGAATTTTGCATTACTGCACCAAAACACCAAACCCTTCTGCTGTTAATGGAATAATCTTTGACTGTAGTTCTGCTTGCATGGACAGCTGATTACACTATTGAAGTGAGAACCCAGTTCAGTTTAAACTGAGGGCCTGACAGCTAGAACTATGCTAATCTAGCTAGCTAACAGGCTAAAAGGTTCTTAATTAAAGTACTTACTACATGATTCACTGTTAAACTGCAATATAAAGGACTAAAGAATGTCACTTGAATGTCTTACACACTTCTAACCACACTTGCTGTAGTTCTGCTTCAAATAGCGTTAAACTCTGAATCTCACATGAATATTTATTAGTGATGTCACGCACTGATTGGGTGCGGGAGCCAGTTTTAAGTCCTGTGTATGACTCTAAGATTAGAGAGCCATTTGAGCTTCAGCCCCATTGTGGGGGGGGAAAGGAGGTACAGCACAGTTAGCTTGGTGCTAAATAAGACTGGAAATCTCAAAAAGGCGCTAATGGAAATTAGCATTGTAGTTGTGGTGGTAATTTGGTGAGGGAAAACTGTAAAATGAAGGTTTTTGATTAAAACTGTGATATTATATGCATGACTGTATTAAATTCATCAAACGACTGCAATATACGGTGACGGGTGACATTTTCTTGTCCTCTTTCCGAAGTCCATGGTTGCTTGGCGACAGCAACATAAAGGAACTACGCTTCTTGGTGGAACAATTGTTTTTTCTTGATTATTAATAATAAATTAATTATTGAAAAATTGTGTATTTTATCACATTTTATGTTGGCCATCATTTTATAGAAGTAATAAGCCACTTGAGGCTGTGCGTTACAGTGGTTTTATCGCTGGTAAGGCTTTTTTCTGCCTAATAACACGTCTTACCCGTGATAAAATCACTGTAACGCACGGCCTCTTGTGCCTTATTGCTTTATTATAATTTCAGAATAACGTGTGGAGGATTTTTATAGAAAATATATACTCAAAGATGCATAAGAACAGTCTTGTGTACCTTCTTCTCAAGACCACCAGATTGAGAATCACTGGTTCAGAGCACCGTAAGATATGGAGGCTGGTTGACACTTGATATAATATTTACTTAAGTTATGTATGTTTGAATATTAGACATACAAACAGTAAAACTTGGATTTAATATCTCAGCTCTACCAGCCACGTTACAGCCAGGCTAGTCCCTGATAATTCAGCAAATAATTCCTGATATAAAGGCACGGCTCTCGCCGGGAGCTGTTTTACTTGCTAATGAAGGGCTCGAGGAAATAATGTGATAATCAGGGCCAAAGGTCCGAGTGGGCACAGCTGACCTCCACGTTCCCAGACAGCGCTGACCGTGTCTCAGACATCATTACGCCTCTTCCTGGCTGAGCTGCTAATTCAGTTTCTTAAGCACACAAAGGCCAGAGACAATATGTCATCAAGTAGGGCGCAGCATGGCAATTTAACAAGCCAATGGGTCTGTTCCACTGACACAGTCCTCTTACTGTGGTGACTGTGTGGAAACATCTGCGGTAAACAGTTAAACAGTTTTTATTTCCCAGAAAGTGTTTACAAATGTTAATAATAATAATAATAATAATAATAATGATAATAATAATAATGATAATAATAATAATAATAATAATAATTAGAGAAGCACCTATCTTGAATTTTTGATATTCTAATTTCTTTACAGCCAGGTTTATTGATGGCCAATCTTTAGGCCAATTTTTATTAACTTTTTTAAATCCAAAGTCAAATTTGATCATAAAATAAGTGCCGGCAAAATTCATAGACTATTTTGTCATTCATCAGTTTGATCTTTGGCGTACCATCAAACTCACGTCTAGTAGCACAAATGTTTAATGACCTAAAACAGTGCTTGTTTGCAGTTAACTAACTAAAATTATTATCAATATTAATTATAATACTAGTAATGACAGTAAAAATAGATAGTAACGATAATATTAATCATTTGTCGCAATCCAATACAAACGATTGGCCTAAAGTTAACAGAGCCACAGTCTGTCTTACATTCTCTAAAATTATTATCTAATGTTCAACAAGCGTACACTTACTTTTTACAGTTAAAACAAAGTTTAAACAGCACTGCATGCTAAATATTTTGCGAATGTTAAAGGGCCGTATCATGGAGTTTTTCTCACATTTTAAAATAAAGGAGGTTTGATGTAAAATATTAACACTAAGCTGCAACAACATCCTGTTTTGATCTCATTGTTTGTGTGGTGTCATAAGAACCAACTCATTTACATATATCCACATATTCAACCTATATCCGTTTAGTCCCGCCCACCCAACCTCTAGTAGTTTAGCTCTGCCCAATCACACTGAAGTTATAAGGAGTGTTTCAGCTATGAGAACTTTCTGCATGAGGCACAATACGGGGCAGCCAGTCACAGCAGAGCTCATTTACATATATCAGTCTTAAAGGCACGGTGATAAAAGCCACCTGTTTAATTCTATGGGATAAAGAGAGTATGGTCTGGCAGCGCATTTTTTATGAGTACGAGTAAATACTAGTACTGGGCCGATACCCGATACTCGATACCAATATCAGTATCAATGCATCCCATTCTTTCCTCTTTCTCTTTCTGTCTCTCTCTCTCTCTCTCTTTCTTTTCTCTTTGTGTCTCTTTCTCTCTCTCTCTCTCTCTCTCTCTCTCTCTCTTTCTTTTCTCTTTCTGTCTCTCTCTCTCTCTCTCTCTCTCTCTCTCTCTCTCTCTCTCTCTCTCATGCTTTTTCAGTCACGTCTCTCAGACCAGCTCACTGGAGGAGGTGCGTCTGGGTCTGGACGGGGATAGGTTAGTGCCCCCAGCGCCCCGGAAGGTTGAGATGAGACGAGATCCGGTGTTGGGCTTCGGCTTCGTGGCAGGAAGTGAGAAACCGGTGGTGGTCCGCTCCGTCACCCCAGGTAACCTGGCCGAGGTTCACTGTGCTGCCCTCTGCTTTCCACATTACACATGCATGTGTCACTATATTGCATCATGAAAATTTCATAGGACACACAAAGCTGAGCTTAGGGTTCTATTAATGTTTCATCTCTTTCATAAGCACAGTGCCTGCATCGTTATCTCAGTTCAATCATCGCTTGTAATTAATTGTTTTATAATTGAAGCAAGTAGCGCAGGTCTGAGGTGTGCTGTGTTTTGATGATGCAATCTAATTACATTTCTTACGAACTGCATTTTTTATGAACTGGTTCTTTCAAAGTTTTTGAAATTGAGAATTAAAAAAATGCTAGTCTGCTTTAATAGTAATGATAATGATCTTTATTTTTGTAGTATTTTTCATGCTGCTGGCAGCTCAAAGTGCTTTACAGACAGGTAATAGAATAGTAGAAATTATGAGTATTAATTTAAAATCATATAAGACAACGATACAGATCAAATTAAAAAGATTCATTCACCAAACAGTTTTAATGAAGCTCTGAGTTTTCAGATGTTTATTAAAAGTGAGCTCTGAGCTCGACTGTCTAATAAAAGCTGAACTGAGCTCCACAGTTTAGAAGCAGAATAACTGAAAGAGTCTCTCCACGTTTTCTGTGTTTTACTGAAGGTGTTCAGAAGGTCAGAATCTGCAGATCTGAGGTCATAAACAGACAGACGGTCAGGAGCTTTAAGGTCATTTAGAGCTTTAAAAACCAGCAGCAGAGCTTTAAACTCTCTCTAACAGATCCAGGCGGTCAGTGCAGTGTGTAAACGGGGTTATATGAGCTCTCTGTGTTGGTGCTGTGAGGATCCGTGCTGCTGAGTTCTGTACGGGTTCTAGAGGATGGATTGTTTTCTCCAGTAAGAAGATCATTACAGTGATCAACTCTGCTGAACAAATGCAGCAACGAGTTTCTCTGCGTCGCTCTGAGAGAAAAGGCTGAACTTTAGAGATTTTCTTATGATAAAAAGCTGCTTTAGTGACTGTTTACATGCAGATTAAACAGAGCTCAGAGTCTAAGATCACACCCAGGTTTCCTACCACAGGTTTGGTAGATGAAGCTAAAGAGCTTCAACTAGAAGATTCTCATAAAGCAGCTTTCTTTGAGTTTCTGTACCAACAATCAGTATTTTAGTCTTTTCTTGATTTAGTTGTAGAAACCTTTGCAACATGCACTGAGAAATATCAGACACACAGCTGGTTAGTCTGTCTACAGAGTCTTGATTATTAGAAGGATTGGAAATGTGTAATTGTGTCATCAGCATGGCTCTTAAAATTGATGTCATGTTTCCTAATGACATCACCCAGAGGTAACATGCACAAAGAGAAAAGCAAAGGCCCTAAAACTGAACCTTGAGGGACTCCACAAGAAATGTTGAGTGAATGATTTCCCAGTGGAACCAAGAACTGCCTGAGAGGCCCAATATTCAAGTGATTAACAGTATCAAAAGCTGCACTAAGATCCAGTAAGACCAGAACAGAAGGATTTTTGTGGACTTTTTGTACTGTATTACTGTCTGACTTGGACTCGGAACTGTCTGAACGTGATGGAAATAAAGAGTTAAACACTTAAACCTTTTTTTCCACAGGGGGTCCTTCTGAGGGCAAACTCATTCCCGGAGACGAGATAGTCATGATAAACGACGAGGCTGTCAGTTCTGCTCCCAGAGAGCGAGTCATCGACCTGGTCAGGTACTGGACTCTGACTAAGCTCCACACTGATGCACTCATAAAACAAGCTTTATGGGGAGATATTTCAGAATTTCTGCATAATTAAATAGTTAAGATTTAAATAAATGAATAAATCATAAGGGGTTACTCATTCAGAGTGGTTTGATGTTAAATGCTCTGAGAGACTTGCTAAGTCAGAAGTGTTCACAGTGGTGGTGATAGGAACCAGACATCTACCTCTAAAAGCTCCCCCACAGAAAGTTACTACATGAAATGGTTATGAATTCACTGCCTGATGTTTTATGGCAATTTTGAGAAGATTTTGGCCAACAAATCCATTCGAGGTGGAGGGGTACATCTTGTGAGACAAAGCAGCTCCCAAAGAAAACTTAATTGTTTCCGATTTTCTACTATTTTCCATCGTTAACGTTCCATATGAACTCAGAAGACACATGTAGGTTCACTGGTGGTCTTGAATAGTAAATAAAATGACTATATTTGTGTTGGTTCCTGTCATCAACACTGTAAAGAACTCTGAACCTGTACAATCAACCAGTTTTCATCAAACTACTCTGAATGATTGACTGAATTATGCAGAAGTTTTGATCAGTGGAACTTTAAGGTTTTAAAGTAGGTGTTCAGATATATAGTCTGGGTCCCATGGGCTCCTATTGTAGCTCTGAACGCCAAGTGAATGTGAACGACACCTGGATCGACATCAAAGTTCAGAACAGTACAAGTTGGACACCTGCTGGTCCAGGGTTTCTTCTGAAATGAAGGGTATTAATAGGGGAGTTTGTCCCCCTTTGCTGCATTAACAGCATCCACTCTTCAGGGAAGGTTTACACTAGATGTTGGAACATTGCTGTGAGGATTTGATTGAGCAATAGTGAGGTCAGGTCCTGATGTTGGATGGTCAGTTCTGGATCAATAATCATCCCAAAGGTATTGGATGGAGCTCCATCACTCCAGAGAACACAGTTCCACTGCTCCACAGCCCAATGCTGGGGGCTTTATACCCCTCTCAGGATCATGTGCAGCTGCTCCAGAGACGCCCATTTTATTGGTCAGTGCTTTATCATGGAGGTTATACAAGCTGAACAGCTACTTAAAGGCCGCCAATTTTTGACACAGGTCTTCAGTTTGTATAATCTCCATAGAAAAGCATCGACTAATAGAATAAGATGCTCTGCAACAGCTACACATGAGCCTAAGGTCACCATGCCCAGTTCACTGTTTCGAAGGTCTGCCTAGATATTTGGACATTCAGTAAACATCAGGGTCCTGTTACATCCTTTGTAAAGCTAACACAGCATTACACAATAAGAAAATCATACCAACAGTGAAACGTGATGGTGGTAGTGTGATGGTGTGGGGATGCTTTGCTGCTTCAGAGAATGAGCAACTTGCCATAATTCTGCCAGAAAGTCCTGCAGAAGAATGTCCGGTCATCAGTCCATGATCTGAAGCTCAAGCACAGTTGGATTGTCCAGCAAGACAATGACCCAAAGCACAAAAGCCGCCTCTGAATGGCTCAAAAGAAACAGGATTTGGGCTGGTCTAGGCAAAGACCTGATGTGAACCCCAATGAGGTACTGTGGCAGGACTTTAATGAGTCTGTCCATGCTCCAAAGCTGACCAGTGTGGCTCAGTTCTGCAAAGAAAAATGAAGTTCTAATGAAGAATGAAGTTCTAATACCAGAATGTCACATATTACACATAAAAACATTTGAAAAGTGAAAAGTGGGGATCAAATATTGAGGTAGATAACCTGGTATCATTATGGTAAATAAGTAATTAAAGTGTACAATTTACAGTATATAATAACTCAAAATTCTTGAATATTTGAATTTTAAATAAAACATCTAAAAACACCTTTTGGTGTCTGTATATAAAACAACACAAACTATTAATATAACAAATGATTCCAAGCTTTCGAACAGTAGTATAGGAGAGCACTTCAGGTCTAAACAGCATCTACAACAACAGCAACAACAACAACAACAACGAAAACAGTGAAGACAAATTGAAAGAGGCCTAAAAGAGACTTTATAAAGAAAAATCCCTAAACTGAGGAGAAGTGTGAGGCACCATCTGCCTGCTAACAACACCGTAATGTCTTTATCCCCACAGTTTCACACCAATTCACACCTCCACACTCCAGCTACTGTCATGTGACCCTTACAATTTCTGTGAAGCACCCGCAGAGATTTAAAGGAGTCGTTTGGCTAAAAATCAAGTTTACACAATCCCGCCAGCAACCCCCCCCACACACACACACACACACACACACACACACACTGTAAATGCAGTCCATCAGCCAAGACTTGTTTGGTGTTCGAAGTAGTTGCTTCTTTAGTTTCAGCACTGGAGCTATGAGGCTAATGTGGCTGAGTAATGGCGTATTTGCCTCACCAGTTGCATGATGCTAAAACTCACCTCAAAGCATGTGGAGGTGAAGTACTTTAGCACAGCCATAGACACCAACTCACCAAGTTGGGAGTGCAGTGAACCTGCACAGAACAGTCTGAAAACAGCTGCAAAGGTGAAACAGCATTTAACAGCTGGAAAAAAATAGGATTTTAAGCATGCGAGGTTGCTGTGGCAACCAAAAAACAAACTGTGCTGTTTTCTGCTTGCACATATTTGACTTGCAGGTTCTTTCCCCTGTTCGACTGTGGCCTGGTATGTAAATTAGTCTTATTCTAGTATATGATGAGGGTTAGCTGACCTAATTCTGTATTTTTAAATTAGAATTTTATTTTCACTTGATGATGACCCTCATTTGAATGGGTTCGAAGCATATTTTTAAGGAACCATGTCTAATTTAATCCATTTCCCCATTTTCTGCTTTGTGATTTGCTCATAATGTTATAAGATGACAGTCTTAAAAAAAAACTAACTTTAGGGGGTTTCAAGCCATATTTATGTGTTAGCCCACTACTGTCATTTAACAATCTGTTACTGTTACACATTTAGCTAGCTAGTTTGAACAGGACTAAAGGGTTATTTAATCAAATCTAGGCGAAGGTAGGTGCTGAAAATATGTAATTTGTAACAGATAATCCAGATATAAATATGAACCAGTCAAGGTAATTACGTTTTAGTCATTTTCACGTGTAATGACGTTAAATTGAATATACGGTATCTCCTCACCAGTTATCTTAGAGAGCAGTGAAGCGAGTATTTTAACATGATATTTCATTAAAAATTGAAATAACTTCTCATATCATATAAAACCATAGCTGACACAACACAGCGTTCAGATTTGAAATTGGTGATTGGTCAGCTGAGATGTAACAGTTTAAGTCAAAACTACTATTTCCACACTATTATGTGGTCAGATTGTTCAAGTTTCAAGTTTATTTGTCATTTGCACAACATGTCAGGACATTCGTGCATTGAAATGAGGTGAGGCTCATTAGTCACTCTACAGAAAGTAAATACAAGAAAATACTGAAAGTGAAATATATATAATATAAACAAAATATACATGAAATATAGAGACAGGAGGGACCTATGTAAGCAGAATGTACAATGCTATGTACAAATATATTTATATTAAACAAGAGATAATCTGTGAAGAGTATATACATTTTAAAGTGACTAATAGTAATAGTTCTACATAGTTTTCTGGTTCAGCTTTGTCTATTTCTGCTGCAAACCTCAAGAGCTCTATCGTAATATTAGTATCTGCTGTCACACCAACAATCACTGGTGATTCCTCGTCTTCATCACATTCAACAATGACTTGAGAATGTGAAGAATCTGGCTCTGGGGATTCCAGTATACAAGTCAGTCGTGGTAGTCTGTCATCACAGCAGTCTTCACTGTTGTCCACTATTGACATCACGCAGCACATTTTCAGCCATCAAATTTCAAACACGTTTTCCAGCTTAACTCACATCCACATCTCTTCAGTAGCAAAAGAAGATATGATCTCTTCAGGGGGTCCATTAGCTGTTGATTGGGCTCAGCCACTATTCCAGTCGTCTTGGCACACCACTTCTAGATGTCCTCAGAGACTCAGTGTCTTGACTCACTCTGCTTCCCAGCAGGTTTAGCCACATGGCTAAGGCTAGCAGTTCCTTCACCCTCCTGTCACTGGAGTAAAACACGTCTTTAGCAGCACTTTAGCTCGAGCTCGAGTGAGTTCTCCAGCTCAGCTGTGAAACGCTCCTACTCAGGTTGGCCTGCGTCCCTCGAGAAGTAAACGTCAGCGATCCTGAGCGCCGTATATTATCTCTGTTAACTTAAAACTCTCCAAACCACCACAGCGTTTCGTTTCTGTGTGGGCAACGTGCGAACACGTACTTCACAGAAAAGCCTTCAAATAATCCTGCTCCAGGGTTTTAGAGCAGACCGGATGATGTGAATTTACTGCAACTTTCACAAAACCATTTGTAAAAACTCTAAGGTTTAAATCAGGGCAGAAAGCGTATTTTGGCTGACTGTTAAGAGCCAATTATCTCAGATATGTGTAGGCGGCAACGTTCGGTCCCAAACAGGCATAATAGCTTGAAAGGTTTGTTTAATCTTTTCTCTTTCTCATTTTAGGAGCTGTAAGGAGGCCATTGTTCTGACGGTTGTTCAGCCGTATCCTGTAAGTTTTCCCAACATCTCTGAACGTTCATCTATTCTTTAGTTATGTAGACAAAATCATGTTGCTTTTGTCTTCCTGACAGAATTTGAATGTGTATTGTAAAAACACTCACTGTTCACTTTATTAAAAACACCTACCTTGTTAGAAACACCTACCTTGTGCTTCCACTCACTGGCCACTTTATTGGAAACACCTACCTTGTACTTCCATGCACTGGCCACTTTATTAGAAACACCTACCTTGTACTTCCATGCACTGGCCACTTTATTAGAAACCTCTAACTTGTATGTTTACCACCCTAAAAATATCCAACCAAGAGTGGTTCTGTAGTCAGAAACTGACCGTTGATGTCCAGAGGATGGCTAACACAAATTAGCTACAAGAGACGTCATCACATTTGACCTGGGGCCGAACTCTTGCAGACTCTTTGGGCTGTGCCCCCACCCATGGGCCTGGCTTATAATTCACTAACTCTCTCTCTCATGTTTAGCAAGTTGAAGATTCCCCACTAGGAGGAGCTATTGGCACTCAAGTAGCTTTTGTGTGCATCACTGAAAGGGAGGAAACTGGCATGAAACTATACTAGGCTAAAGGGAAAAATCATAAAAAGTGACAGATTTGTTACTCAAAGGCCTCTTAAAAGGTCCACATATCCATGTCTAAGGTTGAGTTGTCGAAACAGATGCTAAGCCCAGTGGAACAGTCAATATACGCCACCAATCTTGGTGGCAACATAGAGGCGCTGGCAGTTATTTGCAGTGGTAAAAATGAGAGACACTACTGCCAAGAATCAATAAAGAATAAATTAAAAATTGACTTGATTATGCCATCATGTGCTTAGCCAGTTGCTACTATAAAGGAACATGGTGGCTATCAAGCACAGCCTCTTTGACACACTTTTGCCTGCTGTCTTGTTACAAATACCCTTGTTCTATAATATGTATTGCTAGAATGTCCCTTGTACATTTAAATAGGTGTTGTTGGTAAAACTTTGATGGGACTTTGATGATCCCAGAGCTACAGTCTGTAACTGTCCTCCAGCAAGGTGGAGCTGAGAGGGGTTTCTGATAAAGTGGCCAAGGAGGGTGGATTGATGGAAATCTCTTATTTATAAATGTGAATGTTTCAAACTTGTTCAAACACACTCAAGATGTGTTTCTCTGCTTAGGTTGCCATGAAACATCCTAAGGTACATCCCCATTTCTAAAGAAAGTTGGGACGTGATGAAAAATGTAAATAACAACAAAATACAATGATGTGCAAATCATTTAAATCATATATTTCATTGAAAATAGTATAAAGACCACATATCAAATGTTGAAACTGAGAAATTTTATTGTTTTTTTTTGAAAAATATTTGCCCATTTTGAATTTGATGCCAACAGCACGTTCCACAAAAGTTGGGACGGGGGCAACAAAAGGCTGGTAAAGTTGTGTAATGCTTAAAAAAAAAACAATTGGTGGTTAATTGGCAACAGGTCAGTAACATGATTGGGTATAAAAGAGTTTTTCAGAAGTAAAGATGAGGACGGGTTCACCACTCTGTGAAAGACTGCACAATCAAATAGTGCAACAATTCAAGAATAACGTTTCTCAACATAAAATAGTAAAGAACTTTTGTTTTTCATCATCTATGGTACATAATATCATTAAAAGATTCAGAGAATCTGGAGAAATCTCTGTATGTAAGGGACAAGGCCAAAAACCAGTATTCACTGGCCGTGATCTTTGGGCCCTCAGACAGCACTGCATTAAAAACAGACATGATTCTGTAGTGGAAATCACTGCATGGGCTCAGAAACACTTCTGAAAACCACTGTCTGTGAAAAAGTTTGGCGCTGCATCCACAAGTGCTAATTAAAACTCTTAAACTCAAAAAAGAAACTGTATATAAACAGCATCCAGAAATGCTGCCACCTTCTCTGGGCCCGAGCTCATTTAGAATGGACTGAGGTGAAGTTCCTAAACGCTTACAGAGTGTTGTTAAAAGAAGAGGTGATGAAACACAGTGGTAAACAGGCCCCTGTCCCAACTTTGTTGGAACGTGTTGTTGGCATCAAATTCAAAACGGGCATATATTTTTCAAAAACCAATACAATTTTTCAGTTTCAACATTTGATATGTTGTTATTGTACTGTTTTAAATTAAATTTAAGGTTTAAATGATTTGCACATCATTGAATTTTTATTTACATTTTGCACACCGTCACAACTTTTTTGGAAATGGGGTTGTACTTGCAAAAGCTCACTGGAGTGCTACCCTGCAGACAAATTTGTGCAAAGGCTTGATTTTGATGTAGTTGTGCTGTTCTAATTGGAGATGAAAGCTTTTTGTAGTTAGCATATTCCAGAGGCCTTAGCACTTAAACTGAACAATTAGCTCTGTGTCCCGAATCTGAACCAGACATCATCTACTTAAACTTAAAAGACAACCCAGCTATGTTTCTTCTGTTGATTTTACTACTTACGTTACCCTCAGCTCAAGTTTCCTCCAGCATAGAGAACAAAGCTAGCGCTTTATTCTACAATAGCAGTGCACGCTAAAGATAGCAGAACCTGATCTCCACTTGTTTGTAACTGGGTTCACTTCAGCGTATAGGATGAAAGTCTTTTCGTGGCCATAAACGATCTGAGAGGCACAAACTGTCGAAGCTAGCGGAACGTAGACAGCGCTAGGAATAGCTAGTGCTGTGACTCAGCATCTACAGGGACTTCCCCTCAAACACAAACACGTCCCATTCATTTCTCACAGAGGGATAAACACAGTACAGAGCGACGCATGGTTTGAGTTCTAATTTTACATTCTTACGATATCACACCAGCTCAGAGTGCTACGGGAACGGTGTTCTTCAGGCCACGGACCATTAGTGAGACGCAGTATGCTAGCAGTGGGTCACATCTCTCTGTTCTTGTTGTTAAGTGAGGCAGCGTAGCTGAGTCATCTGCCTCCTCATGTGTGTCACTTTATTTTCCACAGTCACCCAAGTCTGCCTTCATCAGCGCTGCCAAAAAGGCCAAGCTGAAGTCCAACCCGGTCAAAGTGCGTTTCGCCGAGGAGGTCATTATTAACGGTCAAGTACCTGTAAGTGGAAAATTGCACTATTTCTGCTTCCGTGGCTCTGCTGAACTGAGCACAGCGAGCGAGGAGCTGTGAAAGATCCAAAAAATGTGCATTATTTATTCATTAGAAAGTTAGCAAAGTACGTGAAGTTAAGAAGTTGTTTGTGCATCTATTAGATTCTTGGCTGAAACTGAAAGTGACAAAAACCCAAAATAGCTGACAGTAAATACAAACAGCTTACATAAAGTAAACGTACTAAAATGATTGCAGTCTGTAGCTGCAGAATGTGCCATGACATCCAGCGTCCTCAGCCACACAGAACAGTTGGCATCCAAAGCAATGAATTCCATTATTTGTAGTTATTCTTTGTTATTCTATTCTTTGGCATTCATTTCATAAACAAGTGGCGTGCAGATGGAGTTGGCGCGCTCAAAAGGATCTGTTGTTTTGCTGTTTGTCATGTTTTCAGGTGCTGTCATGCCTGTAGTGGAGAAGGTCTTGAGAGACATGAACAGAGATTATATTTCTTATCCAATGTTTAATGCAGAAACCGTGAAATACAGTCAAGTCAAGTCAAGTCATTATTTCTATAGCACATTTAAAAGACAAGTCTCGGCCGAAGTGCTGCACAATAATATCAATTAAAATAACCACTACTAACTAATCAAAACTTTACAATATATTGATACAAAACAAATTGAATAGAAAGCAATAAAACAAAAATGAGCAAAATAAACAAAATATAAGAACTACACTGGCACAACAGAACCAACCAAGACAGAACAGATACTGACTGCATAATCATTAAAAAGACTCAAAAGCCTGAGAAAATAGATGGGTTTTAAGATTTGACTTAAAAACCTCTATTGTGGGGGATTCCTTAATGAAAAGCTGAAGACCGTTCCAGAGTCTTGGGGCAGCTACAGAAAAGGCCCGGTCACCTTTAAGTCTCTTCCGAGACCGTGGAATGGCTAAGAGCAACTGGTTAGAAGATTGTAGAACTCGTGAGGTGGAATGGAAGCAGAGGTGGTCGGAGATATAGCTCAGAGCCGAGCCATGCAATGCTTTAGAAACAAATAATAAAATTTTAAATTTAATTCTATACTGTTTTATTGGTAACCAGTGCAATGATGCAAGTACAGGGGTGAAGCTCTCCCTTTTCTCAGTGCCAGTCAGGAGCCTTGCGGCCACATTTTGGACCAACTGCAGACGTGACAACCCTGACTGACAGATTCCCAAGTACAGCGAGTTGCAATAATCAATAAGAGAGGAAATAAAAGCATGAACAACAGTTTCCAGTCATATGCAAAAGTTTGAAGATGTAAAGTTTTTAAGAATAGTTCCACATGGATGATATTTGCACTGTTAATCTGCTGCTTAAACTCTTTGAACACGTCCGCGCTGACTGGCACAGGAGAGTGAAGAAAACACGCAGCTTTTTTAATCACTATTTCTCATTTTTAGAAGCGTACAAATGATTTGTAAGTCACTACAGGCCTGTTTAGTCATTTTGGTCAAATTTGTCAGCCGATTTTCCCTTTCAACTGAAATTTCTGACCATTTTTGCATCTGCAAAATGTCAGTGCATCCCTAGTATCTATGGAAAAAATGAAATAGAACATTCCGCTTTGCTGCTCACGCTGTGTCACAGTAGCAGCTCAGCGCACTCAAGTAGATACTAATGTTGCTGCTAGCAAGCTGAATATCGTTATTCAGGTCTTTAACTGTAAAAACTCCCTTCAAATCATCACTACAGTGAAGAGGGTGAATTTCTCAAACCACAGAAATGAACTCTTCAGACGTGAGTAAGTTAACAAGGTCACTTGCTATCCAGATACCTTTCCTCAGACTACTTTTCTCAGACTGAATCGTTTTTATATCAGAATCGCAGTTTAAGAAAGCGAAATTTTCTAATTGCAAGAGCTGCAGTTTTTTAATATTATAACCTACATTATCAAAACGGGAAATTTTATCCTAATAACACAGAGTTTGTGAACTGCCTCTAGATGAGTTAGATCCCATGTGTCAAACACAAGGCCCATGGGCTAAGTCAGGCCCATGACACAGTCCTATTCAGCCCGCGAAATTATTTTAATTCTCTATTATTAGTAGCCCGTTTCGCCCTGAGATGCACTACAGTCCCCAAAATTTATTTTAATTTGGATTATTTTTGAATAAGTATTTAATGCCTATGTTGCTATTGCAGTTTTGGCATATTTTGAATAAACAGTGGCCTGTTAGGGTGACAAAATCTGAAGTAAAAATGAAATAAAAGCGCAGCTGGGCGACCTGAGGTAGATCAATCACAGGCAACCAAACCTCCATGTGTTGTGACATCACAACCACAACTTACTGGCAGTCTGGTGCACTACATTCAGGGGTCGAGCCTGAACTTTATACCTTATAGATAATAATCACAAAATAAATTGCAGTTGCAATATTAGTCAGAAAAATCGCAGTTAGATATTTTCCCAAAATGGTTCCTATTTAGTGCTGAATAAAGATCTGCTTTGGTGGACATCCTAGTAATCTGCTTTCAAATCGCTCAAGCAGTCCTTTGGTTTGAAGTGCTGCACACTGCAAAATATAAAAATATTATTTTTCTGTGGTGTATTTACAAAGTGCAGTACTGCAGTTTCTCTTGAGCAGTACGCCACAACAGTCATGCACAGAATATACTCTAGTGATGTTTTCTACTTATGAATTCTGAAAACTTAACATTGTAAAAACAAAAGCACCACAGAAATGTTGTGTTTCGCTGGTCGTAATTAAGACGTTGTTTTTTTGGTAATGTAGTTACCGCGTCAACTTGGGAATTTTTTCCCATTTTCTCCCCAGTTTAGTCTTCTCCGATTCCACCCACTAATTAGGACTCCGCCAAACACACGATACTACCAGCGCTAGGAGGACAAAGGCGAACACAAGCTTTCTCCAAGTGCAGTGAAGCTCCACTGCATCTTCTCAAACTGCCGCGAACGCAGCGTTACTGGACAGCTGAACCGCCAGTTCTCTTACTTCAGCTAACAGACGCCTGCGCTGACTAGCATCGCACTGAGTGATGAGAGATGTAAACACGTAATCAAAGTGATCAATACAGTAAAAAAGAAGGTCAACAAAACTAAAGCGTTGTGAATACTGTGAACGCGCCCCCTGCTGTTTATCAGAGCGTTGCCGCTCCCCAGTCTCAGTCTCCATTTCCCAAATGCTTTAGCCGAGCGCGCTAACGTTACTCCTCCTAATAAACAGACTCACGTTCAGCTCCGTCTCCTCATTATTCACCACCATCACTGTAATATTTCATCATCAACATTAACACACGAAGGTGATCAGAGGGGCGGTGGAGATCGAGTCTGCAGCGTCTGAGATCTTTAAAACGCAGAGTTAGAAAAGAAAATCATCTCACAGTGAAAGCAGCGTTTTACAGTAGAAATAAATGGAGCTCATTATGCTGGTAACGGACCTTAAACAGAAGTGAGGACCCTGTTGGGGTTCATCCTAAAGTTAGGACAGGAATTAGGAGGTTTAGTCTAGTTAGGATGTTTGTGTGATGCTGTTTTCTTATCTGGAGTTAATGATGAGATTATGAAGTCAGGAACTGTTATTCTGGAATAGATACTGAACTAAATTCAGTCTATACTGAAGTCGCCATGGAGACTAAACAGATCAGATTTCAGACTGAGTAAGTTTGTGTAATACAGCCCCAGAATTTCTGGAATCAAACAGCTCTACTGTGCTTTGTTAGAACGGAGTAGGTTAATGGACGTGGATGTTTCTGGGAGAGTAAGTAATGAGTCTGTTTAATGATTAGCATATGCTAATGCTATTCTACCGCTCGCAGGAAACCGTGAAGGACAACTCGCTTCTCTTCATGCCAAACGTTCTGAAGGTGTACCTTGAAAACGGACAGACGAAATCCTTCAAGTTCGACTGCAACACCTCAATCAAGGTACTTTTCCAGTGGTTCTTTTTGCAAACACAGATGTAACTAACAGCTTTTTAAAGGCGTGTTAATTGACATTCGTCCTCAGTCACAATGTGAATTACCCGCGAGGCTGAGCGGCCCACATTTTGGAGGAATTTGCAGCTTTGATCAGCGCTCTGTCCTGACTTTCTTTAATTATGACCAGAACAAGATCCGAAGGCGCATTCATTTTCTCCCTCTCTCAGTCTTGTGCACGGATAAACACAATTAACCCGTTCACCTGTGTTCCATTACGTCCTTTCCATTTGCCCAGACACGTTAATGAGCCCGGACTGTTTTTGTTTTGAAAGGACGTCCTCCTGACCCTGCAAGAGAAGCTCTCCATTAAAAGCATCGAGCACTTTTCTCTGATGCTGGAGCAGAAGACGGAAGGTTCCAGCACCAAGCTGATGCTGCTGCACGAGCAGGAGATGCTAACTCAGGTACTGTGCTCTCTGTTGGTTCTGACATGGTTCGCAGGGACTTTTGGTTAAGGAATGTGTGGGATCTGGCGGTGAACATGGCCAAACTCTGCCTGACCCAGCATAACATGACTTGTTGGTTGGTCAGAGACGTTATTAAAGGGCTGCAGTATTTCCAGAGTGATATTTTCCAGTTTAAAGACTAGAAAACCTCCTGCTGACGGTGTATCTCAAAGGTGGAAGGCAGTTTTTGAAAAACTACACCTGCTTTGAGGTGATTTTTGGTTTTGAAATGTGTTTATCATTATCTGGTGAATGCAGAAGGAAAGCAGACGGCTAACGATACTATTAGGAAGCTGAATATCTTATTGCAGCCAGATAACTGGGTCCCACTTTATATTAAGTGTGTCTAATAACTGTGTAGTTACACATGAATAACATATGTAGCAATAGTGTAACTAATGATGATTTAGCCAATGTTATAGATGGATTGCAGAAGTACAGCCTGTGTAATTACACGTGTATCAACTTCAGGTTTGCCTCATGTAATTACACAAGTGTATCTTTTTAATGCACTACAGATCAGAAGTCTTTTCCAGCAGTTAAAGGAAGTATGTTTTACATAATTACTGTGGAATAACTGTGTTGTAACAAGGTGACCTAATCACATAACATCGATTAATACCATTCTGTAATTACACTGTACCTTTATAACAACTACACAGGAGCTTTCCTGTAGTTATTACATACTTGGGAAAATGAAATAAACTGCTGTTCCAGTCTGATTACTACTGTAATTACATTTATGTTATTACCCTTGTGTAACTACTGGCTGTTACAACTATAAAGATACACTTGTGTAATTACATTAGGCAAATCTGAAGTTAATACAAATGTGTAATTACATACAATAGTACTTTTGTAATCCATCTGTAACAGTGACTTAATTATTAGTAGTTACATTATTGTTGTATATGTTATTCACATGTAACTACACAGTTATTATAGACACTTAATATAAAGTGGGACCGATAACTGTCTTCAAATCATCATTACAGTGGAGAGCATGGATTATATACGGACTCTTGATGAGGAGGACAAGCTAAAAGCTTAAGTTAGCTGGCTATCTAGATATTTTACCTCAGTTTGGCTCCTTTTCTCTGACTCAGAAGGTAAAAACTTGTCTTTGCTGTTCATTTAGTGATAAATAAAGATGGAATTGCTGTTTTCTATACCATCTGCCTTTGTGCTTATCCCATGTTTTCAAATCGCTCATACATATACGTATATATACGTTCGTTTCCTGGGGTGTATAAGCATCCTCTCCATTCTGCTTCATTTTAAGCATTTTTTAACAGGAAAACTGCAAAAACAGCACGTTTGAATACTTATCAGATGCTTTTATTCAGATAAGAATCGTAAGAGTTGAAGGAGAATGTAGCGTTCAGTGGCGAACCATGACAGTCAAAACTCGTAAATTGAAAAATACCACCTCAATGATAATGCTAGCTTCTGCTAGCATCCCTATAGGATTTCAGTATACTGACAGTGATTCGCATGAACTTTTTCTGATGTGGCTGAAGTTAAACGGTGTGGCAGCTACAATCTGGCGTAGTTACGCAACAGATTGAGTGCGTTTACATGCACTTAATAACCAAATAACTACAGAAAATCAGATTTTGTCAGTAATCCAATCAACACTTTTACATGCGCTTGGGTAATCAGATAATGGGAAACTCCGGGTCTACATGAGTCAGACAGTAATCAGATTTCTGCTTTACAACCAGCCAATAAACTCAAGACGTAATGTAAACGTAACGTAAAACTCAAACTTCATGCGGCAGCTTTTTTTTAAGCATCGCGCCGCTTTACCTGAAAATGTGAACAAACATCATCTAGAAGATGAAGAATACTTAAATCCTTCATTTCGTCAAGGATGTATTTGGTTTCAGTGTCGCTCCAAAAGTGTTTCGCTGCGTCTCGCGCCGACGCTGCTCACTTATTTCCGGTACCGCAGTCTGTTTTCACACATGCTCAGACTGAGAAATCTGAAAGAAATCAGAGTAAGAGTTTCCATGCACTGAGAAATCTGATTACTGAGCTCAAATCCAGCCTCTTTATTGGATTTCTTAATCGGATTTCTAGACCTTACTCTGATATAAGAAACCAGAGTGTGCTGTTTACATGACCATTTGAATAATCAGATTATAATCGGATTGTTGAGTAAAAATCGCTAATAGTAGCTGATTTCCCGTTCCACCTTAAAGTGCACGTACTGGTGCTATTGTGCTTTGTAACTCTGGAAGAGTAAAGGATTTGCTAAATTGTTCTTAGCTACAGCTGCAAGTGTTGCCAAAGATAGAGGATCCCTCTGTGGGATTAATTCTTATAATGATTGACTCAGACAAAGGGAAAGGATCCAATTAGACCCAGACTAACAGATGTAAACAGGCGCAAAAAATCCAAGGAGTAATCCAAAAAACGAGATCCAGAAAACAGTCCAGGGTTCAAAAACACTAACTAACCGAAGGATAATGAGAAAGCAGGCTGAGAACTGCAGTAGAGAAAATACAAAGACTCCACAAGGAAAGACAACACGGATAGTCTATTTAAAGCTCACTAATGAGCCCCAGAGGAGAAACAGATGTAGAAAAGAACTTCAATATTGGAGAGATGGCAACCTCTGGAGGCAGGAGGGGAATCCCCAGCCTATATGTGACAGTAATACACTGTAAAAAAAATATAATAATAATTAAAATGGTCAGAAGTCTGGCAGGACAGGGTGCCAAACATTAGCCAGAAGTTTAAAAGAATGGCAACAAATTTAGTTTGAAAAAATGGTCAAAAGCCTGGCAGAAAAGGCAGCCAACCTTTGGCCATAATTAAAAAAAAAATGTATCTAAAAAAGGGTCAATAGTCTGGCAGCACAGGGTGCCAAAACCTTACCATGAATTAAAAGAAAGCTAAAAACCTAATCTGAAAAATGGTCAAAAGCCTGGCAGCAGAGCGTGCCAAACATTGGCCTTAAATTTAAAAAACGCCAAAAATTTAATCAGAAAAAATGGTGAAAACCTTACCATAAATTTAACATAATGCCAAAAAACAATATAAAAATGGTCAAAAGCCTGGCGGCAGAGGGTGCCAAACACTGGCCAAAAATTTAAAAGAATGTCAAAAAAATTTACCTGAAAAATGACCAATAGTCTGGCAGCACAGGGTCCCAAAAACCCGACCATAAATTTAAAAGAATGCTAAAAATGTAATCTAAAAAATGGTCAAAAGCCTGGCAGCACCGGCTACATTTCACATTACAGCCTCAAACACAGACAGATTTTACAGTTATTACCATTTTTTGCTTTACGTTTAATGTATGTATTTATGGTAAATTGTACTGTAAATTGAGCTGCTTCCTTGCCGACTGGATGCGAGTCATCCACCCAGAAGTATGGCCAACTATTACGTTTACAAACATACTATTTAAATATAGTTACACCTTATTAATTTCATTATTAATTACATAGTTAAGTAAAGAATTACATTTCCATTGACTTCCATTCTGTATAAACCGGATCGAAGCTTCTGAGCTTTTTCTGTTTGTTTCAATGTCAAAAACAGCCAACAGCAGAATTTCTCTGAGTGAGAAATGATTAAACAAAAGTAAGAAGATTCGTATCGACTGAGAGATAATCTTAGCATTGAGATCCTCCTTTTGAGGAACCCAATTACAGATGCTGCGTAGAACACAGCTGGGGTCACTCAGTCCCACTGCGAATCACCTGCTGCAGCAGGACTGAATGTTTTTAAGATGGTTAATTTTATGGAGAGTCCTGCTGATGTGATCACCTCACATTACTGACATTATTACTGTAATAATAAGAGCAAAGCTACCATTAGTACTGCTGCTTATAGCACTACCCGGTTATCTGAGTCAGTTGTCTGAAATGCAGCAGTGTTGCAGTCCAAGATCATAGAAAAGGTAAACTAAGATGTATTGTTGTTGTTATAACTGAAACACTTATGCTGGTTTACCTTTTCTTGTGTGGTATTCGGAAGCAACGTCTTGTGTTACCCATTCAGACCAAAACCTACGATCCTCTTGTGGATTCCTGACAGTTTTCAGAGTTAAAGGAGTGGGTTTACATGCACCCAATAATCCGATCATAATCAGATTTCTGCAGTTATCTGATTATTCAAATGGTCATGTAAACAGCACACTCTGATTTCTTAGATTGGAGTAAGGTCTAGAAATCCAATTAAGAAATCTGATAAAGAGGCTGGATTTGAGCTCAGTAATCAGATTTCTCAGTGCATGTGAACTCTTACTCTGATTTCTTTCGGATTTCTCAGTCTGCATGTGTGAAAACAGACGGTGGTACCGGATATAAGTGAGCAGCGTCAGCGCGAGACGAAGCAAAACACTTTCGTAGCGACACTGAAACCAAACACATGCTTGGCGAAATGAAGGATTTAAAATCCTTCATCTTCTAGATGATGTATGTTCATATTTTCAGGTAAAGCGGCGCGATGTTTTAAAAAAAGTAGCAGCATGAAGTTTGAGTTTTACATTACGTTATGTTTACGTCACGTCTTCTTCTGTGGGTTTATTGGCTGGTTCTAAAGCAGAAATCTGATTACTGTCTGACTCATGTAGACTCAGAGTTTCCCCATTATCTGATTACTTAAGTGAATGTAAACACGCTGATCGGATTACTGACAAAATCTGATTTTCTGCAGTTATCAGATTATTAAGTGCATGTAAACACACTTAATGTTTTAAGCAAAAAGATTTATACCAAAAGGAAAAAATGACAGTTTCATAACAGTGCACAGGATATTAGGCTGGAAAAGTTCATGTCATATTCAGGTAACATTTACTAAACGATAAACACAGCCAAGCTTCCGTCTACGATTTCACAGCATCCACCCTTTTCTTTGAAAAACTGAAACAAGAGATGTTAGTGAAAGATATTAAAATAGCAGTCAATGTTTAAACAAAAAGAAATATTGATTTATTTAGCTGCTGAAGGACATTCATTCATTTATTCTTCGTTAATAACGCCCTTAGAGGGCGGCGGTGAGTGGCGTTTGTTTATTTGATGTTTGTTAATAACGCAGCTAACCACTGGATGCCGAGCAACAACAACTGTTGCTTTACTGTAATTTACTGAAACTGCTTAAAAACATGCATTTACTTTTCTGACCAAAGCAGTGGTCTAAAAGCGGTAGAGCACCAGAGGCGATCTGTTATGGGGTAAAACTCACGGCTGTGATGATCTACAGCAGCCAAATCACAGCTGTGATCTCATTCAACATCACATTGTTCCAGTGGTCTACTGCTTCAATCTCACCTTAAATCTTTCTGTCTCGTGTCGTTTATCGTTCAGGTCACGCAGAGGCCGGGGTCACACAAGATGAAGTGTTATTTCCGCATCGCGTTCGTGCCGAAGGATCCGGTGGACCTGCTGAGGCGTGACCCGGTGGCGTTCGAGTACCTTTATGTACAGGTAACCACTTTATCTTCCATTCATACTTATCATTTTTATACATAATTTAATATGAATTGTGAGCTACATGTTGAGTGAAGAATTCGTCTTCTTTCAGTTGTGGAATTTGGGATATTTCTCCCAAATGTTTATCTTCATTTAACTTTATCTTTCTTTTTATGTTTTTTTTCATTTTGTTGTTTGTATCTCCCTATTTTAGCCTTTTTGTAAAGTACTTCAAACAAGTTTCAAAAAGATAGCATATAAAAATATTTTTAAATATTATTGTACAAGAACATACACTATATGGCCAAAAGTATGTGGACACCTGACCATCACATGATAATTCACCATTTAAGTTTGTTGGACACCCCATTGTAAATCCATAGGCATTAATACTTCACAGCTCTAACACGTTCCACTCTTCTGGAAAGCTTTCTATAAGATTTTGGAGTGTCTGTGGGATTTTTTGCCCATTCATCCAGAAGAGCATTTGTGAGGTCAGATGCTGTTGTTGGACGAGAGGACCTGGCTCACAGTCAGTGTTACAGCTCATCCCGAAATCCTGAAAAAAACATTTAACGAAGCTCTCGATGCTCAGATCTTGTGTTGTTGTTGCACCAGGCGCTTCCATTTCACAACAATAGCACTGACAGTTGTCCCGGGCAGATCTAGCAGGACGGAAAATTCATAAAATGACTTGTGGTGCAGGTTGCATGTGATACTCCTAAAAAGATGGTTCTTTAAGCGTTCTTTAGTAAAGAGAAATTGTTCTATATAGATCCATGAACACTCAAAGAACCATTTGCATCATTAATGAAATGGTGACATGGTTTTTCAGATTGATGCAGAATATGCTGTGCATGGTTCTATATAGAACCTTTTTGAAAAGGGTTTCTAAATGGCCCAAAAAAGGGTTCTACTATTCTTACAATCTTCACATTGTAACAATAGCTTTTCGGTGCTATATAGAAACATATACAATACATTTCCATCAATCTGAAGAACTTTTTACCATTTCAATTAATGATGCAAATGGTACTTTGAGTGTTCCTCGTTCTATATAGAACAATTTTCTTTACTAAAAAACCCCTAAAGAACCCTTTTTTAGGAGTGTGATGGTGCCATGTTTAAAGCCACTGAGTTCCTCAGTTGTTTGACACACCAGAACTCAATAATGGACAGTCCACATACTTTTGGCCATATAGTCTATATTATTATGAATAAGTATCGTATTCTATGCTTTTGTACCACACAGTACAGCGCATTGAGTTATGCTTTCTTAATTTTGGGGCAGATTAACTGTAAATGTCCCCCCCCTCTGTTTGTGAGCATAAGTGCATATTTATGTATAGTTTAAAAATAAATTCTGACCCTAAGTAATATCCCAATTTATCATTTTAGTGCTGCACTTCTAGGTAAACCTTATATGCGCAGAAGCCTCGCAGTGGATGATTAAAAATAACGGCTTATTTTTGATGCTCAAAACCATCAGAGACATGAGTCATTTACACTGTAGACTGAAAAAACTCTCTCTCTGCCACTCTCTCTCTCTCTCTCTCACCCTCTCTCTCTCTCCCGCTCTCTCTCTGTCTGTCTCACTCTCTCTTTGCTCTCTCTCACTCCCTGCTCTCTTCTTTCTCTCTGTCTCTCTCTCTCTCTTGCTTTCTCTCCCTCTCTGTCTCTCTCACTTGCCCTCTTTTTATCTCCTCTCGCTCTTCTTTCTCACTTCTCTCTCTCACTCTCATCTCTCTGTCTCTCTCTGACTCTCTTGTTCTTCTCTCTCTCCCTCTGCTTTCTCTCTCTGTCTCTCTCTCTGTCTCTCTCTCTCTCTCTCACTCTCTCTCTCTGTCTCTCTCTCTCTCTCTCTCTCTCAGAGCTGTAAGGATGTGGTTCAGGAGCGGTTCGGCTCGGAGCTGAAGTACGATACGGCTCTGCGGTTGGCGGCGCTGCAGATGTACATTCTGACCCTCAGCACCAAAAACACACAGAAGGTCTCCCTCAAATACATCGAGTGAGTTCCTCTAAACCGTTAGCTCTGACTGCAGTGACGCAGGAGCAGAATCACAGTGCAAGATGGTTTTGTTTTCTGAAGATTTAACAGTGCAGGAAGTGACTGAGAATGATGAGAAGTCTATAAATGAAAAACACTAAACAGCAAGAAGATCAGAATCTTGCATACTTCAGAACACTGTGAACAAGAAACAGAACCTGCGAAGGGCTAAAGGCTCATTTACGCTCAACGTTAAATACGGACATATGCACGTTCTCTGAAAACATCACCACAAATTCTGGGGTCAGTGTGGCCAATAGTTGAGGAGAGACAAGACAGTAGCCATATAATATAAAGCAGTGGTTCCCAGTCGAATGACACTAAGGGTACGTCAAAAAATTCCGACATTAATCTTTACTTGCTTTAATCAGTCGGCCGCACAGTTATACAGGTACTTTCCTAATATAGGCGACACAGACAGCTTCCAGCACAGGGAAACTCGAGATCTAGTAGATCAGTATTTTACTCTTTTATCATAAAAGGCTGCATTAGAGAAGGAACTGTAAGGGCCCAGCCTGCGCCGCCGGCCGCCAGCAGAGGGCAACGGCAGTGAGGTGCCGTAAGTTCAGGGAACTCCAATTCCCAGAAGCCCTCGGGCTGATTAGGCCCAACCTGGCACACCTGTGGACCCCTCTACTTAAGGCTGTGGCAAACAGCAGCCCTTTGTCAGACCTCTGTAGAGGGGTGACCGGTACGGTACTTAGCCCAGGTGGGTATTTAAAAGAAAAGAAAAGAAAAGAAAAGAATAGAAAAGAAGGCTGGAAAAACAAAAGAGAGAAATCGCCCCAAAACTACTTAGAAACCAAAAAGAAGGCTTAAATAAGAAGCGGCTCCAAGCCAAACAAAAGTGTTCGCTCCACAAAGAGCAAACAGGTGAAACATAAAGTTGACCTTCCTCTCAGAATCACAGAGGAGATGTTTAGTTGTTTTCTGATTATCTTTTATTTCAGATTTTCTATCTCAGCCTTTGTTTGAGCTGCTTTCAGCGTCCCCTTTGTTTGCCTTTTTCCTGCCTTTTTTTATTTCCCATTGGTTGAGGTGTTTTTTCCCATTTCTGCCTGTGCTTCCCGGTGGTGCAGTGGTAACTCCGGACAGTCAGTACACCGGCCGGTTTGAGTCTGGCTCTGAGCCACCTCAACTCCAACGTGCACAATCACCAAATTCACACTCCATCACCTCAATAAACTGATCACCTCACGTTCAGGAGAAACTCTCAGCAGTGGAGTTAATTCAGTTTATTGTGCGCTGCCGTGCTGTGCTTGTTAGTCGAGTACTCGAGTTAGTTTCACTTTCACAAAAGCGGGTTAGCTCTCAGTTTAAGGGAGTTATTCCAGAGCCAGTTTATGAGGAGTCTGGCCACTTCCTATTTCCCCCATTATATCAAAAACAGGACTGCTAAACAGCAGAGGGCGCCCACGAGTGAGTCCTTAATGAATGGGAGTAAATGGAGCTCAACGGCTAAAAACAAAGTGTTAAAATAGTTTCTAATCACTGAACCAGAACTTTCCTTTAATTTTAGACAGTAGAAGGATGGATTTCACTAAAAAAACAAAGAAATCTCACCTGTATTTTTCCTTTATTCTACAGCAAACAGGTTTTGGGCAGCAGAAGGCGGGCATTACTGCTACTGAGTGCTGATTGGTTGGCGAGCGGAGCAGCTCATTGGCTGTTCGCGCTCACAGACGTCATGAATGTACATGAGGCGCCGTTTTAAACTCCTATAACTCAAGTTTAAAAGCTCTTAAAAATATAACAGCAGTGTTAAAATGTTTTATGCTGTTCAGGAAATAAATGAATTCTTTTACATTAAAAATGTTTCAGCATTTATAAACTATGATTTTGCTCAAATGCGCCCTCTAGTGTTTGAGAAACCCGGATGACATTGCAGAGTGGAAGTTCTCCTCTCTACAAGTTCTCTGGTTATTCGTCTGTAGCTGCAGTGATTAGCGCTTAGCTGTTAGCGTTTAGTTTACGTGTTTGTAGCGCTGTTAAACGCTGAGCTGATGATGTTACTGTGATGATTGTGATCTGTGGCTGAAGTTAGTGAACACTTTGTTACTCGCTGTTCTTTTCACATCCTCTCTCAGACACACACTCATGCCCTCATACTGATGCTGCAGCCTTTATTTTTACAAATGTAGAAAGTTCAGTCCTCTGTCGCCCCGAGCTCTGACAGGACCTCCAGACTGACCCACACCCAGAATACAATAGTACAGAAACATCCCTCACTTCTTACGACAGACTCTTACTCATCTCAGGCTGTGAGTGACGAGGTCAGTACCTAAATTCATCAAACTCAGCGCTGCCTCTGCTGCTCCTCGTCCTCTCGCTTTCCTCCGTCACCCCATTTCCTGTTGGCTGTTTCTTCCTCCATCACCTCTAGTTCTTGTTCTAGTTGATGTATTTTCTCCATTTTGCTCCTCTGAGTGGATCAAATAACAGAAATAACAGTTAATACAAATTCAAAATGTATCTCGTCATCATTTACGGTGAGCTTAAAATCATCATCATCATCACTTTTATTCATATAGCGCCTTTCCTGTGCTCAAGGACGCTTTACAATCAATACATAACACAGAACACACACACACACACACACACACACACACACACCCACACACTCCATGGTTCCCACAGCTAGCAGAGGGAATTTCACTGACGACACCCACACAGGTACCACAGTATAGAGTCTAAAGGAACTAATTAAGATTGTCTTAAGAGAAAATTTGAGAACCTCTTAGTGTTTGGGTTAAGGAGCTTCGCAAGGTTTTCTTAAAGCCTTCGTGAGTCCGGCCCCTGGAGGTAATGATGAGCAGACAGGGCTACAGACTAGACACAGGAGAGACACATGAAGCCCCACCCATTCAGCCTACAGCAGTTTAGCCCCACCCATTCAGCCTACAGCAGTTTGGCTCCACCCATTCAGCTACAGCAGTTTAGCTCCACCCATTCAGCCTACAGCAGTTTAGCTCCACCCATTCAGCTACAGCAGTTTAGCTCCACCCATTCAGCCGATGGCAGTTTAGCCCCACCCATTCAGCTACAGCAGTTTAGCCCCACCCATTCAGCCTACAGCAGTTTGGCTCCACCCATTCAGCTACAGCAGTTTAGCTCCACCCATTCAGCCTACAGCAGTTTAGCTCCACCCATTCAGCTACAGCAGTTTAGCTCCACCCATTCAGCCGATGGCAGTTTAGCCCCATCCATTCAGCCGATGGCAGTTTAGCTCCACCATTCAGCTATGGCAGTTTAGCTCCACCCATTCAGCCTACAGCAGTTTAGCTCCACCATTCAGCTATGGCAGTTTAGCTCCACCCATTCAGCCTACAGCAGTTTAGCCCCACCCATTCAGCCGATGGCAGTTTAGCTCCACCCATTCAGCTGCAGCAGTTTAGCCCCACCCATTCAGCCGATGGCAGTTTAGCTCCACCCATTCAGCTACAGCAGTTTAGCTCCACCATTCAGCTACAGCAGTTTAGCCCCACCATTCAGCCTACAGCAGTTTAGCCCCACCCATTCAGCCGATGGCAGTTTAGCCCCACCCATTCAGCTACAGCAGTTTAGCTCTATCATTCAGCTATGGCAGTTTAGCTCCACCCATTCAGCCGATGGCAATTTAGCCCCACCCATTCAGCCTAAAGCAGTTTAGCCCCACCCATTCAGCTATGGCAGTTTAGCTCCACCCATTCAGCCGATGGCAGTTTAACCCCACCCATTCAGCCTACGTCAGTTTAGCCCCACCCGTTCAGCCTACAGCAGTTTAGCTTCACTCATTCAGCCTACATTTCAGTCCAGGCTGCTTTTAGAGCTAGTTTTTTCTTAAGAAAGCCTTCGTGAGTCCGGCCCTGGAGGTAATGATGAGAACACAGGGCTACAGACTAAACACAGGAGAGACACATGAAACAGAAAACCCAAACAAAGAGCATATGGCCAGAGCAGTGAGGACGTAAACAAGGAGGGAGACAGACGGAGGCGACAAGGCAAAACACTTATTTACATTCTTTATGAACAGGTTTGAGTTTGCACTGTTTTCTGATTGTTTCAATGTCAAAAAGTAACGACAAATGAGAAACTTTTCTTTCTGCAAAACGAGACTAACTTCATCAAAACGACCTTCTCTTCTACTTACAAACTCAGATGTGGTGTGGATTGAATATTTACAGTCTGCACTTTCCACACAATTTCTCCACTTGTTTCTATGAGCTATGAGTCAGAAATAATTCAGTAATTATGTGAATGTATCCTGTTTGAACTGATTTAGTATAGAAACAGATTCTTTAATGTTACACAACATGGCTTTATATCGTCACTGTGCTCTCCGCTGCACTGGCAGTTTCCCAAAATAATCTGAATTGATTAAGGCGTGTGTGAACGCTTCGCTAGATTTATATTCTTACATCCAGAAGCGCCTGGATTCAGTGAAATATCACTGACCGTCTCAGACAATGTGGGAGCTCATTAAATTACACAGGCACAGCAGGCGCGCTGCACTAAAGGCCAGGCTGGAGGAGCTCAGTGATGTCCGAGCTTCGCCTGGCAGATAATGGACAACAGAGCTCAGTCCAGAGATCAGAGGGCCCTTTTAATGGAAAACAGGATGTTTAATAAACTTTTTATTATAATAAGAGTTTGATGTGGTACGTAAACATGTTTCAAAACAAACCATTCGCTCCCCAGTCCATACAGTCTGTAACCTACAGCAGTTTAGTCCTGCCCATTAAACCTACAACAGTTTAGCCCCACCCATTCAGCCTACAGCAGTTTAGCCCCACCCAGCAGTAGTTTAGCCCCACCCATTCAGCCTACAGCAGTTTAGCTCCACCATTCAGCCTACAGCAGTTTAGCCCCACCCAGCAGTAGTTTAGCCCCACCCATTCTGCCTACAATGGATTTCAGTCCTAATTTGAAAGCTTAGAGCAAGACACTATACAAGACAGCCAATCAGAAGAGAGGTTATTTAAATATATCAGTCACAGTAACGTAACGTAACATCCTGTTTAATTCTAAGGGATCAAGAGAGGTTTGTAAAATGCTCATGTTAAAATAAATTATGTTTTTGTACATAAACCCACACAGACGTTATAAGAGGACTTAATAAAAATAAATAATGTTCTTACATGTTTTCAATTACAAATACATTCATCTAGTGCAGCTGATGAACTCTATGGATATATTGTCTCTTATGCCTCTCTCTCTGTCTGTCTCTCTCTCTCTCTCTCTCTCTCTCTCTCTCTCTCTCTGTCTCTCTCACTCTCTCTCTGTAGGAAAGAATGGGGTTTGGCTCTCTTCCTTCCTCCAGCAGTGCTTTCCAGCATGAAGGAGAAAAACATCAAGAAGGCCATCACACACATCCTGAAAACCAACCAGAACCTGGTGCCACCTGGTAAAAAGGTAAACTAAATAAAGAAATAAATCATTAAAGAGCACTGATATAATTTTTTAAATTTAAGACTTCGTATGTAAACATTGTGAAAGGCTCAATCCCATTTCACCCCTCGCCCTACCCCTCTGTTTTACATGTTCACGTCTAGGGGTAGGGTGTCCTGATTCTTGTTGAGATAGAGGGGGAAGGTGAAGTGTTCGGACTACATGACCCTCCAAACTGAGGTTTTTCAGAAACTCCAAACAGAGAGTTATGAGGAAAAAAAGAAAAACTGGCAAGATGGAGAACAAGAGACCAAAGAAACCCAAAAATTTGAGAATTTTCTCTGTTAAAAAATTACAATAACCATCTTATTATCTTAGTTTAATGTCGTTTCAGTGTATTTTGGTCGTTTTTTTTTCATAACAAGCATTAAATATCGCTAACAGTGCTAATGTCTCGGTAGCTAGCTATCTAACTTTTCCGTTCCACCTTAAATAGTCCAGCAGTTCTGACGCCTGAAGCGCCAGAATGTAACTGCTGCTCCATTTAAGGCGGAACGGGAAAATTCGAACAAGAATCTGATGAATATCTGACTTCAGCTTCATATCACTGAAGAATTAGTGGTGGGTGATAATAAATAATTGCCCCCCTCTTTGAAGGCATATGATTCCCTAAATGTAACTAAAGCCCAGCAGTGAGGAGCTGAACTTTACCCTCCTCTGCTGTCACTGCAGACTGGCAGGGTCGCCTACAGAGCAGCGCTGGTAGCTGTTAATGAAGTGATGCTCTTTTTATTTGAGGATCCCATTTCAGAGGGAAGATTTCAACCACTACCCTGTAAAAAAACAAGGGGATAGGGTAAAAGTAAGAAATGGGATTGGGACAAAGTTTCAAAATATACTGTTCGCTCTCCAAACAATACAGTCCATATGAGGAGACTGACCTGCAGGAACAGCCTATCAGATTCATTGTTTTTGGGATGTCATGAAAACCAACACTTGTTCAGCCCACAGCAGTTTAGCCCCTCCCACTCACACTGACCTTATAAGGAGTTTTTCAGCCCAGACTGCTTTTTGAATGAGGCAGAATACGACAGCCAATCAGAACAGCGCTCATTTACATATATCAATTTTAAAGGAATCGTAGGGAAAACAGCCTCTTGTATTATAAGGGATAAAGAGAGAAAATGAATTATAGCAGTATAAACTATAAGAGGAATTCAGGAAAAAATCATAATAATAATTTTTATTTATATAGCACTTTTCATGCTGGTGGCAGCTCAAAGTGCTTCACAGACAAATGACAAAACATAGTTATACAAGAAATTATTAATATTTATTCATAATCAGAAGAAATCAAATTAGATCAAATTAGAAGATAAACACCACGAGACGTAGAGTTTTAATTAAATGCTAAACAATAAAGATAATTGGAAGATTTGGGTCCTTTAGTGTTTTTAATGGTATTGTGACCATTTTGTTGTTTTTTGTTATCTAGCACTTTATAAGTCTTTTTTATGAGGTTTTCTCTTACTGTACACACACAGACACAGATTTGCCCCATTTCCACTGTATCCTGATTATTACCATTAATCTGTCTTTTTAAAGCAGGAGGCGCTGCACATGCCTCAGATGATGCAGCTAGGAATGCACACTAAGAGGAAACGTGAGAAAACCACAAGCTGGAATGGTTTATGTTTTGTAGCAGCTCACACTACAGAATCTTCAGCTGTAGTGACTCATCACTGAAGGGGCTGATGTGGCGCAGGCTGCCCCCTAGTGGAACTTCTGCAGACTGCACCGAGAAAAAATTACTCTGTATTAGATAGATAGATAGATAGATAGATAGATAGATAGATATTTTATTGATCCCGAAGGAAATTTAGACAAATTGAGACAGTTATAATAATACATACAATATGAAAAGAAGAATGTGTACAAAAAACCCTATCTACAGGCATAAATACACCTAAAAATATGCAGTGGATCGTTCCTAATGACAGTTATTCATCAAAATCTGTGGAAAGACAAGGACAGTGCTCACAGCTTTAGGCAGCTTCCTCACTCAAGCCTTTTAAAGCGATGGTTTGGAGACAAAACAAGCCCCCCTGCCCCCCACACCCCACCACTTACACTAAATTTAGTCGATAATAAAAGATAATGTACACCAATTAGCATGGTGCTAACTGCATGCCTGAATCATATAAAGTAACATCTAATATACATTTTCACTGAACTATCACTTTAATACCATCCTGCTTAAATCTGTTCCCACCAATTTTCTGCATAATTTAGTGGTTAAGATATAAACAGAGAGATTCAGAGTGGTTTGGTCTGAAATGGTTCAGATGTCTTTACAGTGGTGGTGATAGGAACCAGGGGTCGCCATGACTACAACACAGATATAGACATTTTATTTACTATCAAGAACCACCAGTGAACCTACACGAGTCTTCTAAATGTATATGGAATGTTGATGATGGAAAATCTGAAATAATAAGTTTTCTGTGGGGACTATTTTGCCTCACAGTGCCCTGCATGTATCCCTCCACCATGAACCTTCATGTACTTCTGTGATGTTTTCATGAGATCAAATTGCGAAAACAGGAAGTGCATGGCTCTCTGAAAGCTGTGAAAAGTGGAACGAAACCGTAGATTTCTCAAACTCAGCTCATCTGTAGTTGCGTAATACTATTTTTATAAACTCTGTGGACTGTTCCTCTTTTTTTTGATATGCTGCTGCTAGAGGTGCTTGAGTGTTTTGGGCTGTGTATATTATTATAAAAAACAATAACAATAGAAATATAAATAAATCACACTCACACACACACACACACACACACACAAGCACACAAACACACACACACACACACACACACACACATATATATCGCTGCTGTCTGAATAAAACCTCATGTCTCCAAAATGGTAACTTTACAGGAGAAAGAAAAAACATACTTTACTTTCAATGTAAGTCAATGGAACCAGACTTTTTTCAAAGTCTTTTTGAGCCGTTTATTTTGGTCCATTCATCATGAAATTTACAGACATTGTAAAGGACAACAGCCATTTTCAAAATATGTCAAAAACTGAAGAACGACAAAAATGGAGATACAAGGTTTTGTTCCGACAGCAGTGAGATGTGTATATATATAAATATATATGTGTGTGTGTGTGTGTGTGTATATATGTATGTATATATATATATATAATATGTGTATGTGTGTGTGTGTGTGTTTATAATGTCATATGCAAAGGTTTGAACATTGCATTGAACATTACATTATTTTACGCATTTTGTTTATTTTCTAAGTGAAAATATAAAACATCCTCCACAGTGAACAAACTTAAACAATTTTCTGCAAATTTTCGCTTCCTATTTAATAAAAACATAAATATAAAATGTGCCATATGTTTTATTTTTTCCCGATGTGTTAAATTCAGTAAATGAACAGTGACTGTGTATTAAGGTGTGCAGGAGTGTGTCTCTGTAGAGGACGTGTTCACTTACACTTAGAAAATCAACCTTTTTGAAAAGGGTTCTGTAAAGCACCAAAAAGGGTTCTGCTGTTGTTAAGATGTCACGCTCCTCAGCTCTGTTAAACACTGTGGATGTTCTGTTTCCAGCTGACGGCTCTGCAGGCGAAGGTTCACTACCTGAAGTATCTCTGTGACCTCAGGCTGTACGGAGGGAGAGTCTTTAAGTCCACTCTGCTCGTGAGTCTGTGATCACTTCACTGAATCTACATGCGCAGAATGAAACACTGCAATAACGATGTGAAAGAGTTAAAATACTTCATGTTAGGATTTTAGGTCGGTATCAGAGACGTAGGATAAAAGACAGCACAGCCTTTTCACTGTGAAAGATAAGCAATTATTAAAATGTGGAATGTCCTTTGGTTTGTATGTTTCAATCAAGACGTGGCTAAAAAGTGAAGTTTATAAGTATTAGTATTTTGTTCTACAGTTTTTACAGTCATTTTAGAATCTTATACCGCTCTGTTCATCATTCTGGACAACACTTCCTGATCTTTTTACAGCTCGCTTTCTATTTTCCTACTAATTATTTAATATGATACACTCAGAGCTCATTTATGTACCTGTCCTAAAAGCACAGTCATTAAAAACAGCCTGTTTAATAGTTATCGGTCCATAAAACCACACAAACATCATAAGAAAAAAAAGGAAAAATGTAGAATATGGGCAATTTAAGCTTGAAGTCACTGGAAATGTTTGGACTGACCCAGCAAATTGGTGGTTTCTGCTGAATAACTAATATATAGCAATAATTTTACCCACAAACCAAATCATTGCCAGCACCAAAGTTTCATAGCAGAAGCTGTATTTGTGTGTATATATATATACAACAGTTTGTTCCGGCCACGCACGCTGATTGGTTGAGAAGCGTTCTGACGTGGTGGTGGTGTGTTAGCATGTGTTGCGCTGGTCTGAGTGGATCAGACACGGCAGTGCTGCTGGAGTTTTTAAACACTGTGTCCACTCACTGTCCTCTCTATTAGACACTCCTACCTTGTCAGTCCACCTTGTAGATGTAAAGTCAGAGACGATAGCTCATCTGCTGCTGCACAGTTTGTGTTGGTCATCCTCTAGTCCTTCATCAGTGGTCACAGGACGCTGCCCACAGGACGCTGTTGGCTGGATATTTTTGATTGGTGGACTATTCTCAGTCCAGCAGCGACACTGAGGTGTTTAAAAACTCCAGCAGCACTGCTGTGTCTGATCCCCTCGTACCAGCACAACACACACTAACACACCACCACCACGTCAGTGTTACTGCAGTGCTGAGAATGATCCACCACCCAAATAGTACCTGCTCTGTGAGGGTCCTTGGGGGTCCTGACCACTGAAGAACAGGGTGGCGGCAGCAGTTCGCGGTGGGCTGGTAACATCACTTTAAGTCATAATAATAATTAAAAATCTAACAATCAAATTTTAACTGATTTAAATGACAGCAGAGACGTACAAATAAAAACGTTGCAGTCGCAGCTCATTAAACATCATCGGTTTGAGCCAACGCAGCCACAGGTGCGCAATGCAGACAGTTAGCGAGCTGGAGATGGAGAAGTTTCTCAGGGCGCGTTCACACCTTGCTTGTTTGGCGTGGACTCATCACACCTTTTTACTTAGTTGCTCCGTTTTGATATGTGTGAACACTCCACCCGTACTGCAGCAGACAGCTGAACTGTGTTCTGGCAAAACTCGCAGGCCTCGTACTCGCTTTCAAACGAACCCTCTCGGTGGGAGCGCGTTCTCTGAATTCATCAACAGAACCTGCGTTCCTCTTCCAGCAGCACATCGCCGCTGTACTTTCAGCACAATCTGCCTGTTTGAATGTCTGATTCTTTACAGACTCTCAGCATGAGCTGCTGTTAAAAACAGTGGATGGGCCATAAAATCATAGTGACCTGAGTGTTTAAACTGATGAACCAATGAAAGAAGCAGATATCAAGTAAGCCCGGCTGAGTGGAGCGGTTAGTGTGGTTTGACTGTTTCAGATGAGGCGCTAAAACCCTTAAAACTAAAGAGACCAAGCGATTCCTCTTTTGGGGAAGCCAGTGGAGTATTTTCAGGGAACATATGATGGACTGCAGCTCCAGATCATAGTCCACATCTACCTCGTACATTTCTTTTCTTTGTTTTTCTTTTTGAATATTATTTTAACATATGTTTTTTTTTAACGTAAGTGCAAATTTTGCAGATCTACTGATAACCGGAATGGACAATCTGATCTTTTTCAGGCCTTAATTCTCAGGTTTTCAGTGAGAAAAAGAAAATCATATTTAAAAAGGTTGATTTTAGTTGTCCTGCTATGTGTTGCAGTCATAAACAGGTGGGCCTTGGGGGGAAAAGGTTGAGAACCCCTGCTTAAAAAGCAGCCCGTAGGATTTTCTTATAGGTCTTGCGAATACTAATGACATACAAGACCAAACCACAGCGTGTTCCGAGTGCTAGATACTAGTTTTGACGTTGGTGTCTGTGTTTCTGTCACCAGCAAGGTGAAAAACACACGGAGGTGACCCTGCTGGTGGGGCCGCGGCACGGCATCAGCCACGTCATCAACACCAAAACCAACCTGGTGGCCCTGCTGGCGGACTTCAGCCACGTCAACCGCATCGAGATGTACACGGAGGACGAGAGGAACGTCAGGGTGGAGTTACACGTGCTGGACGTGAAGGTGTGTTTGGATGGAGACAGATATGGATGAATAAAGAAAGCTTGATCTGTTTAATTTGATCCAAATCTCATCGTCTGCAGCAGCACTGCAAACAGGGTTTCTCAGGATAAGTACTAGTTACTGTACGAATGGTGATTCACCACTGAAGATCCTTTTCAGTGCAGACTTTTTAGGCTTAATCCCCAAATAGAATTACACCACACCACGGTGTAAAGAGGCACTTTACGATTTATCGACAAAAAACAAACAAAAAAAAAAAAACAAGCTAAAGCTTTTCTACTAGAGTCTTAAGAAGAAACTAGTTGTTAACATAAGCAAGAAAGTCTGATGTAGGTTGAAGTTTTAGGCCCAGTCCCATTTCTTACTTCTTCTTACGTTCTACCCCTTGTTTTCGAGTGTTGCCCCTTAGGACTGAGTTACAGGGTAGTGGTTGACCTCTGAAATGGGACCCTCAAATAAAAAGAGCATCACTTCATTAACAGCTACCAGCGCTGCTCTATAGGCGACCCTGCCAGTCTGCAGTGACAGCAGAGGAGGGTAAAGTTCAGCTCCTCACTGCTGGGCTTTAGTTACATTTAGGGAATCATATGATCTTCAAAGAGGGGGGCAATTATTTATTATCACCCACCCCTAATTCTTCAGTGATATGAAGCTGTTCGCCAGATTCTTGATACAAAATTTAACAGAACAATTTTCCTTCTGCTTTCAGACGGGAAGCATGGCTTAATGGGTTTTTGTCCGCAAGTCGTTTTTCCTCTACTTTCCATTTTCACAAAGTTCTCATTGTTTTCTCAGCCCATCACACTTATAATGGAGTCCAGTGATGCCATGAACCTGGCGTGTCTGACCGCTGGCTACTACAGGCTGCTGGTGGACTCACGGCGCTCCATCTTTAACATGGCCAACAACAACACAGGGGGTAAGAGACAATTCATAATCTCAGCCACTTACAGGGAGACCGACGAAGCATTAGATCGTTGCTAAGATCGACCTAAACTAGGACACTTAGCTTATTTAAATGTTTTTAATAAATGAATGTTTTTTGCAAACATGAGGAAATGTCTGCTATAAGCTCTATTTTGGGGCAACACACATTATCTCCCTTATTGTGATGAAAGCACTCAAACCTTTGGTAACATCTCGGTAAGTAAAATCATCTTAAATTAAAATATCTAGTCAATATATCTAATATTTCTCATTTTGAAATTGTGTAGGAATATTATAAGATTCAACTTATTTATGGATGTTTTCACTTGTTTTAAGTAATGTTTTGTGTGAAATATAGATCAGTTTGCTTGTTATGAGCATTATTTCTTGAAAAAAGCAAAATTATCTGACAATAGAATATAATAATTTATCTAAAATCACTTAAAACAAGTTGAATTGTCTAGAAATAAGTTTAAAATATTCTAATATTCTTACACCCAAATATTAGATATAACAACTAGATTTAAGATGATTTCACTTGCTGAGATCTCATTTGCAGCACATGTGCTTTTAACAATAAGTTAGAGTTAAATCATTATTTACTCAAAACCTGCTCTTCATACCGAGAAAGATGCTTAATCTAATTATACATATTAGTATATATAAATATAAATATGTAAATAATATAGTAGTAAGTATTATATGTAAATAGTTTTATGCTACCAAACCTTCGCAGGAAGTTACTTGACAATTGAAAATTTTCAGTAAAGTTGGGAAAAAAGTGAAAATTTTGTGTCTGTTCTGTTTTTAGGCCATGACTCCCGTGAAAAGCACAACTACCAGGCGATTGAGTGGAACTACGGGTCGTGTAGCGGCTGCGAGGACCACAGCAGGGACCTGTCAGAGCCGGACTCGGAATACAGCGTCTGTGGGAGGCGAGACGGTAATGTCGCCCCAATCTACATCACCGAGCTCCACCAATCACAGCGGGCGATCAGGGGAAGCCATGCCCACACCCACGGGCACCCTCAGCCCTTTTTTAGCACCGCCAGACCCAAGCCCCAAGAGTCTCCCCGGAGCGCAAAGGTGTCCTTTATATTCGGGGACCCTTTGCTGGACAGTGTGAACCCGCAGAACTTGGGCTACCAGAGGCTGATGGAGGACATCCCAGAGGTTCTGGACGAGCACAGGTCCGTGTATGGGCAGCAGGAGGACTATAAGCCCTTGGATCCGTCGATGGACATGGTGGACGGCTTCCAGTATGGCGCCCACATGGTCTACGGCGACGCTAAAATCTTTGGCACCACCGAGGGCATTGAGGAGCCACTGCTGCACGACATCTGCTATGCCGAAACAACGGACGATGCTGAGGACGAAGATGATGTCAGCTGTGAAGAGGACATGACGATGATGGGGGAATTGAGGGACAAAGCATCCTCGCTGCTTTCCCTTTCTGAATCCAGCGACGATATCATTGATTTGACCTCCCTCCCACCGCCACCAGAGGGCAACGACGAGGAAGACAACGACGTCCTCCTGCAGTCGCTAAACCTGGCCATAGCTGCCCCGCCGCCGGGGTTCAGGGACAGCTCGGATGAAGATGAGCACCAGGGGACACAAGCGGGGGACAGGAAGAACCAGAGCGACATCCCGGTGTCTCTGATCGATGCTGTGCCGATGCAGGTCAGCAGGGGGACGGAAGAAGTTCTGGATGACGCCGTGGTCTCCACCCTGCAGGCACTGGAGGCCTTGGCGGCATCCGAAGACCAGTCGCACCCACAATCGGACAATAGTTCAGGTTCTTACACTATTGTAACATTCATTCATTGACAGTGCACCAGCCATTGATTTCTGTTGACTTCCCAGCCTCCTTTTTTTTCCACCCCACATTTTCCTACGTTTCTATATTGTGTGTTTTTCATTAGCGACATAACCGTGAACTCATTGTTTCGTTTGGAGATTTTGTTTGTTTTGTGAACCAGTTGTTCATTTATTTCATTATCTATGTACACATCTGTTGGTTTCATAGTCTTCAAAAGGTTTTGTACAAATAAAAACTTTTAAAATATGTGTGAGGCGAGTCGTACGGTGTGACTACTAAAAAATTATTTGTCTTTCTGGTCTCTCTGTGGCACACAGGTGTAGAAATATCTCGGTCCTTTAGCCCCGAGTCCGCTTCAGATTCTGGAAATGAGACAAATTCCTCTGAAATGACGGAGAGCTCCGAGCTGGCGACAGCTCAGAAACTCTCCGAAAACCCTCTGAAAATGTTTGTAGCTACAGCTGAAGGGTATCAAACGCTGTCCGAAGAGAAGACCGAGTTTCGGTTAACCGCTTGTGACGCAAGGGCCATATCCAGAAGCAAGGAGGATGAGCATCAGTCCACCGGCATTCCTCCTTCTCAGACCCTCCGCTCGGACCACCTGGAGATGGAACCGGAAACCATGGAGACCAAATCACTGACTGAGTACTTCAACAAAATGCACATGGATGCTGTGATGGGCAAGCGGCAAGGGAAGGTTGATGACGGGACCTGTGGGGTTGGCGAAAACGAACCTCGCCATATGAAGACCGCAGAGGACATTGTTGGGAGGTTCAACAACTTCAACGCGTTTCCGTTTCAGGATTCCAGACAACAGATTCTAGACAACAAACCGAAGGACCACATTTACTCAGAGTTGATCGGCGACGGCAGCATGTCTTGTGCAAACCTGACACCCAAAAAGAGCAACAAAATAGAGTCTGGTGACTCGAGCACGATAAACCCGGGTAAACCCAGAGCACCCGGGATGGACCCGAATGCTCGCTCTCCTGCTGAAGAAGCATATTTAATTGAGCAAGCCGCCAACGAGCAGCAGCAAATGAAGGCTTCCCCGGCTGAGAAGGAGGTGACGCGGTTGTACGAGTACCACTTGACGAAGAGGATGTCTTCGCTCCAGAGTGAAGGTATTCACTCTTTGCAGAGTTCCCAGTGCTCTTCCATCGACGCCGGCTGCAGCACCGGAAGCAGCAGCTGCGTGACGCCCATGGACTCGCCACTCTGCACCGCGGAGAACGTCCACTTGCTCTCCGAGTCCTCTCTGAAGGGTCTCGGCTTCCCAAGCACAGACGAGAAAGTCTACAGCCAAAGCCCACACAGCAAACTCATCCATCAGAATGTAGATCCTACATTTTTACGGAAGCACCACACTCCACCTGCTGCAGAGCCACCGAGCGGTGCAGGACGGGAGGGCTGCCAAAGGATGCCCAAGATTAGAGAAACTACAGGTAGGGCTTTTTGAATGGTTTGAAGGGAGAAAGTTACTGATACAATCTTTGACTTCAGTTCAATTTTTTTTAAATTTCTGCATGATTAAATGGTTAAGATGGAAACAGTCGTTCAGAGTGGTTTGGAGTGAAATGCTCCATTCTAGAGTCAGAACTGTTCACAGTGGTGGTGATAGGAACCAGACGTCCACCTCTAAAAGCTCCCTCACAGAAAGTTCCTACATGAAATGGTTATGAATTCACTGCCTGATATCTGAGACGCTGTTTAGCAATAGTTTTGAGAAGGTTTTGACATGAAAAGTAACTTTTTAAACACCATGCATGGCGGAGAGGTACTTTATTTTAACGTACATAGTGTCTTTATACCACACTGATTTCCATAGACTATAAAAAATGTTCTCTTTTAATATAACGTTTTACTGTAAGGTAGAGTAAATGATAATACAGTAATTGTATACTTAACTCATTTGAATATGCAGAAATAATTTCATTTTTTATATACTACGGACTGGTTTCCCAGACATGGATTAAGCTTAGCCTTGGACTAAACTGCAGTGCCAATCATCAGCAGAATGTCTTTAGTCCAGGTTTAGCCTTTTTCTGGGTCAGTGTCTAAATATCCAAAGGTTTGTAGACACTCGCTGATCCAGCGTTTCTTCTGAAATGAAGGGTATTAATAGTGAGTTTGTGCTGCAGTAACAGCCTCCACTCTTCTGGGAAGGCTCTACACTAGATGTTGAACATTGCTGTGAGGATCTGATTGAGCATTAGTAAGGTCAGGTACTGATGTTGGATGGTCAGTTCTGGGTCACTCCAACTCATATCTTTATACCCCTCTAGCCCACGCTTGGCATTGGGCATGGAGACCTTAGGATCATGTGCAGATGTTCCAGAGCGTCCCATTCTATTGGTCAGTGCTTTTCTTTAGGGACTAACAACGCACACAGTACCACCATGAATGGGTTTAAAATATGTTTTAGACCAAAACTTCCTCAAAACTGTCGTAAAACAGTGTCTCAGTCATCAGGCAGTGAATTCATAACCATTTCATGTAGTAACTTTCTGTGAGGGAGCTTTTAGAGGTGGAAGTCTGGTTCCTATCACCACCACTGTGAACAATTCAGACTCTAAGTTTCTCTAGAACAGAGCGTTTCACACCGAACCACTTAATCATCTTAACCACTTCGTTATCAAGAAATTCTGAAAATTTTGTGGAATTCCATTATTAAAGTAGCTGAATTCGCTCATTAGACAGTGAGTCTTGATACTTTCTGATTGACAGTGTACTTCAAGTAAGGAGAAAAGGGAGAAAATTGAAAACTGGAAAATCTGACATTGACAGTGTCAGCTGTTTCAGAACTGAAACTGAACCGCACGCAGTTTCTTTGAGAGGAACAATGTTTTGATCATGCTTTCCTTCTGCTTTTCCTCCCACAGTGTAGCACGTTGAAGACGAAGGTGAAGCTTGTGTTTTGCACTCAGTACATCTGCACCGATCCTAACCATTCATGCATAGCACAGAGTTTTAGGTGCCAAACCAGAGGTCTCTGGAGGTTCTGACGTTCTTCTTGTGAGCTTCCCCTGATACTTCCCCGTCACAGGACCCCCACTCTGGTTGCCTCAAGATGGAATTTCCATTGAAAAAATCATTTATTGGCTCAGGGAGCTTTGAACGTTTGTTTGAAAGAATCTAAACTCATATAGACGAGTCTTCAGACCACAAAGAGGAGTTACAAAATTCAGAAAAGCTGCCTCAATCTCACAGCACAGGCTTCTGTGTTGTTACCAACTAAAAAAAGCAAAGAATGACCACTCAAACTCTGGAGATCAGTGAGGTCAGTCCAGTCCAAACAGCTCTACCAACTTAAGGAAGCTGCATTAGTGGTATTCGTGAAACATCGGTGGACACTGGGTACACTTCGGGAGTCTACAGTTGTGGAATGAAGGATTCAGACTTCATTTTTGAGGCTAAGTGGACATACGGTTGTATGCAAGTTTGGGCACCCTGGTCAAACGGCATGTTTTGTTGAAGTACACATGCACTTTCATATACATGCAACTTAAATATGACACACTTCTTTCAATGTTAATGCACAATTGTCATTTATTTGCAATAATAAATATATTAAATAAACAAACAAACAAATAAGTCGAAACAAAATGTGCCACGTGTCCAGAGCCACTTTGGAAACAAGTGTTGTGGTCTGTTGAAAGAAAAATTGAACTCTTAAACTATCATCACCAAAGGCATGAAAAAAGCAGCATCTGATGAAAGGAACACCTTGCCAAGTGTAGATCTATTTTATTTTTGTCCATTGTGTTGTTACAGTTAACTAGCTAAGCTGCCAAAAAAAAGAAAAGAAAATTACAAAAACACTACCCTCACTACACTACCGATAAACAAAGTCCAACAGGTCAAACAAAAAAGGCAGGCCACGCCTTCATTTCCTTTATTAAAAAAAAAAAAAACATAACTTTTTTATGTACCCACATGTACACTGCAAAAAAATGGTATCTTGTCAAGTTAAGTGATCTTAAATCTGGTCAATATATCTAATATTACCCGTTTTGAGATGGTTGTGGACTTATTATCTTGCTTATTTCCAGACTTTTTACTTGTTTTTAGTAATTTTAAATTAACTAAACTGGCAGTTAATTTTGCTGGTTTCAAGCAAAAACAAGCAAAATTATCTGCCAGGATAGTGAGATAATTTTACTGGATAAAATTACTTAAAACAAGTAAAAAATGTCTAGAAATAAGGTAAATAATCTTAAATTAAGCTTATAACAATCTCAACAGGACGAATATTAGATTTATTGACTATATTTAAGATAATTTTACTTGACTAGATGCTATTGTTTTGCAGTGTACCTGTAGGCCAGCAAATCACAGCTAACAAAACTGGTCTGTCAACTGGCGGACAGCAAGGGGAGCTGAGTAGCCTCCGCCGACAGGAACAGCCAATCACATGCCTGGAAAAGAAGGACGTCAGTAATGCAGCAAACTGAAAAACACTGAGAGAGACAACCAAACACGGGATGTAACAGTGTTAAATTCAGCAATATTATAATTGTGCATTGAGGAAAATGTGACACATTTAAGTTCCTTTTCACTTAGAAAATCAATAAATTGTGACCAGCAGTGCCCAAACTTCTGCGTGCAGCTGTTTGGATGGTGCAACACGTCCTGCATGTCACCACAGCACAAGAGATGGAGATGAAGGTCATGACATGCTTGCTGTACCTGCTGAAACCTTCTGGGCCAAACCTCGGGCAGCAAGCGCCGCTGACCAAAGCACCTCTGCATTTGCCATCATCCCAACATCTGGCTCGTGGTCATTCAACAGCACTCGAGACCCTCTTTCAGAAACTTTAGACTAAAGAACGCAGCTGAGTTTCAGCTACTTCAAAGCCATACACAGACACACGGTTACATCTGACCACCAGACACGGAGCGGTGACCGGAGTAACCGAGCTAATCTGGCCAATGTGAACTGCTTTGATAATCCATGCCTTGTGTATATTTTGTGTAATATGTAAAATAAAGAGAGGGAATTCTACAACACATAGAATTTTTAAAAGACGAAAATATTATTATTCATAAACCTTGGTAGACGCGTTCTTATGATTATATTATAAATGTCTGGTCAGCGGATTATTTATGTACAGACGCCTCACTCCATCAGAACTATAGGACATATAAATAAACATGTTGAAAACAATAAGAAATTTCAGACGACGTCACTAATTCAGTGTAAAAATCTTTTGCATAAGGAGGTTTATGAACATCTTACAGTCAAATGTGATTTATTTGCATTATCAAGCATATTAAATATTTCCAGTCATCACAGTATTGTGCTGTCATCATTTAAACTTACACAATTACATACATTATATCATAATAGACAGAATATGCAGAACAGATTTACTCTTTTGAAAAGTATTGGCACTTATTATGTTCATAATTAATGAATTGAATTTTATTCAGTAATAATTCGCAGACTGTAGATTGATATACTAATCTAGACACACAGAGGTGTTTAAATGTTTTATTCCAATATTAATAATAAACTGTAATTATTTTTAAAGCTAACTTTTTAAAAAGTTATCTGCTGGAGATTTTCTGACCATGTTTTAAATGTGAGACGTTTGTATCAGAACATTATTCTGTTTTTTTTTAACTTCATTTTGAATATCAATTTTTATTGATCAATCAGTTTATTAAAACTATATTCTGTGCATACAGTTATTAGTTTGTTCTGGCTATTAATTTTATTAGAACTTCATTCTAAATTTCGATTCTTTTAGAACTTCATTCTTGATTTTAATTTTATTAGTACTTCTAGATTTTAATTCTTTTAGAACTTCATTCTGGATAATTTTGTTCAAAATCCATTCTGGATCTAAATTTATCAGAATTTCATTTTTGATGTTCTACAGCTTTCTAAGTCAATTTAGAACCTTCTACAGCTCTGTTCATCATTCTGGACACATCTAACATTTCATAGGTTTTATTTACAGTTTCATACTAAGTAGTTGACATCTATGGAGCTGTAGAGCATCAGCGTCATATTATAATCATATTATACATTTTTCAGCAATTTTGTTTTTATTTTATTGAAAGCAGCAATCCCAAACTTTTGAATGCTTGAGTATCCTAAACTGTTATTTTTTCTGTATTATTATTATTATTATTATTATTATTATTATCAAGAGGTTTGTTTTAATATAAAATATGAATCTTTTCATAACATGTTCAGTGCTGATGTAATGGAAGGGAAGTTCCTCTCGTGAGGTTTTGCTTTCGTTTATGTGAAAATCAGAGCTGAGTGCGCTCAGGCAGAACACTTTAAATGCTATTTTTACATTTCTGATCTCTTAAATGGAAAGAAAATTAAACCTAAACGTGCCTCTGTGGTTTGTAATGGAATTTTAATGAGTTGTGTGCTGGTTAATATGTCAATAATTAACTAAAAGAGATAAAGTGATTTCAGATTATACTCACAAAAACTTACACGGTTCAGTATTTGGTGAGGACTCTGTGTTGAGACAAATGGAATAATCTTAAAACTAGCCAATATATCTAATGCTTTTAATTTTATTGAGACGGTTGTGCGAAGTTTATTCAACTATTTTCCAAATGTTTGTAATTATTTTGTCATTTTAGTGTCTGATTAACACTACTCTACAATAAAATGTTACCAGACATCTAAAACAAGATTGAACAATCTTATAATAATCTTACAACAATCTTATAATGAGAAATATTAGACATGCTGACTAGATTTAAGATTATTTCACTTATTAATATATCCCTCTTTGCAATAAACTGAATTTCACATCTTTGAATATTATATGGGGGATTTGTCGTGAACTCAAGCATCTAGGTGGTTAAGTAATGAGGAAGTTATGCAGGTTAAATTTAGCCACTCTCACTTGCGTTTATGGTTTTGTGTCTTCATGGTTAAGAGCACAGCATGTAGAACACACAGAAAGGCTTTTCAGGACCACATTGCCTGTCTGCTCAGAAACTTCTATGCTTACAGAGGGCAGTTTAAGAAGATACGACACTGGGTTTGAGGACAGAGCCCAATAAAAAGGTGGTGAGTAGCTCTACCTTCTCTAAATCTAGTCTGTTCTTAATGCTGAAAGATAAGAATCTTCTCCCACGATGACTTTCAATAGCGTGATGAGTGGTCATGTAATGGAGAGTCCCCAGTCACAGAACTGTTGAAGAAAACTTTCCCTCAACAATTTTGTTTTAGGTGTATCCTCTGGTGAAGATTGTTAGCCGAAGTATTGAATGATAATGCCTGTTTTGCTAGTGTGAATAAGAGCATTGTTCACTTGTCAGTAAGTTTTAAGGTTCTTAAATGTGCCCATGTGAAATCTCTACTGAGAAATTGTTCAAGGTAGTGAAACTTGCCAACTCAGACTTCTTTACAGTGGTGGTGATATGAACCAGGGGTCATGATGTCTACAGTATCTTCTGAGTTTTTATAAGTCATGTTGCTGACGGTAAAATAGTGGTTAATCTGAAAAAATATGTTTTCTTTGGGGATTTTTGCTTTTCAACACCCTGCATGCACCACTCCATCATGAATAAAGGCCAAAACTATTTCATGTAAAAGCTTTCTGTGATTTTAGAGGCATTAAACTCTTAGGAACCACATCAAACCACTCCAAATGACTTTGTTTACATGTTAACAGTTCTGAAATTTTGAAAATGGGTGGAATTATCTTGTGTTTAGGTTATTACTTCATTGCCACCTTCTGTTATGATCTCTGAGTAATACAAATTGTCTCCACCTCTTAGATGGAAGGGAGGACGTTCATGACAATTTCCAGCCTGATTCTTTTCTGTCCATCTGTGTGGTTAGCGACTGAATGGTATCCCAAAAGTCTGCCGTGTGATGTCTCCAGGGCCAGCAACGGAACCGAAGTGACCGTAGACTGCACCAGCAGAAGCCTGACCAATATCCCGATGGGAATCCCATCAAATACCACCAACTTGACCCTCACCATCAACCACATTCCTCACATTCAGAACACCTCATTCCAAGACCTCATCAATATCACTGAGATCGACCTGCGCTGCAACTGTGTTCCCATCAAGGTCGGCCCGAAGGACCGCATGTGCACACAAAGTGTGACGATTGATAATGGGAGCTTTT